GATTGTATTTCTTGTTTAACAGCATTGGGGCAAGAAAATGAAGTCATCCTAAAATGGATACCTGGACACAGTGGTATTGAAGGTAATGAAACAGCTGATCAATTAGCTAAAGCAGCAGTACAAAAGGAAGCTTATGACAAGTCGACGTACTATGGTTTTGGCTTGTTAAAGTCAAACATACGAGAATGGATGGAGAGACAGCATTTTCGTATCTGGAATTTAGAGGAAGGAGCCATGACAACCAAAAGACTTCTTGGTCCTAAAAATAAGAATAAAATATCTGATGCTCTCAGACTACCAAGGAAAGATCTTAGCATCTTAATTGGTGCTTTGACAGGACACATGAGTATCAATAGTTTTCTTTTTAAATTGAATTTGTTTAACAGTAAAATTTGCAGGTTTTGTAAGGTAAATGAGGAAACAATCATTCATATTCTTTGTAAATGCAGAGCATTACGAGTACAACATGTCAAGCACTTTGATAAGGATTACATAAATTATGAGGACACTAGTAGGCAGCACTATCAGGACATTATTGGCTTCATCAAGGATATAGGAATTTTATCATAGATGGCTTGGGATGGTACAACAGATCATCGATCGCAGTGCCGTTTTTGCTCTAAGCAAAACCCTACATTACATTCTATTCTATTCTTAATTATCCTTTGTATCTCATCAAACTCTTACAATCATATCTTCATGGTCGTTCTGCTTCTGTTGTCTGCCAATCAGCATTTTCATATATATTTGATGTCTCATCTGGAGTGCCGCAAGGCTCTCTAGTCGCTCCACATTTATTTAACATATTTATTAACGATATCCCTGTTCCAACAAAAGGCGATTTATCTCTTTACGCTGATGATACTGCATACCTTGTTCAATTCTCATGGAAGAATTTGAAGTCGATCAAGGTAGAATTGTGTAAATCTCTCAAGAGCTTACAAATCTTCTTTATTGACTGGAAGATTCAATTGAACGAGCTCAAAACAGAATTCATTGTCTTCACTAAGTCAACTAAAATGATCCAGAAACTAAGAGGAGATTCAATTTATTTCAAGGGACAATCATTTGATTGGATAGACTCAGTGAAATACTTGGGTCTTGTCTTTGACCATAAGCTGACTTTCAAACATCACATCGAACGCGCAGTTATCAAAGCCAGTGCCACTAGTTTCTCCAGTCTGTACTGCCTCTTAAGTAGAAATTCCTGTGCATCAACTGATTCAAAACTTAGAATTTACAAGTCCTACATAAGACCCATTCTGACTTATGGCTGCCCTATTTTCCATAATGCTGCTGAATGCCATGTTAAAAAGCTCAAACTTTTCCAAACATTAACTGATATGACTTTCAATCAATCAGAGAGATTCATGATTCAGCGAAAGTTCCGACTCGAGTTGACTCGAGGGCTTCAAGCTCTACTTAGAACCCCTGGAAAAAATTACAATTGAATCATTTTGATACACAAAAATTATAATTTCAAAAAAATTATGACACTTTTAGAAATAAAACCCACTTTATCGTAAATAATTCATATCAAATATTGTTTTTGGGTGTCAAGGGAAGCAATTAATTTTATTAAGTAATAAGTTTCCGGAACTTAATCGATATGGACGAATTGGTAAAAAGCTTTCAGCCTCTTGTTAAAACTTCTGGATATTTCGGTTTTCTTCCTTTTAAATTGCAACATACTGAAGGATCAGCAAAGCCATCAAAGTTGAAAATTTGCTTTGCAATATTCTTAGTAGTTTTGTTAAGTTATTTTATATATTTGCGAGCAATCCACATCAATGAATATCGGCAGCAAGGATCATTTTTATCCAAAATCACTCTTTTAATTTCTTATTTAATGACTGAAATTTTATATACAGTGACTGTTGTCGTTAACTTTTTGAGTCGAAAAGTATTTGCAATTTATATAAAAACCTTGTGGAAATTCGATGTAAAGGCAAGGCTTTATTTTTATTGGTTTTAAAAAAAATCAAAATTAATCAAAATATTTTCAGGCTAAAAGCTTCAATTTTTCTCAAAACTATAACAAATTCAGAACTCATGGAATAGCAGCAGTAACAATCGCAATCATATCATTTTTAATTCTTATATTCATTCCTTATGTCATTCTTGGAATAACAGAAAATATGGAAATAGAAGAATTTTTAGGTGGAACAATTGCACATTTCTTTTGGGCTGGTTCAGCTATTTATATTGTAGATCACTGCATGATCTTGTTGGCTATTCAATCGAGACTTTCGATTTTAAATCAAATACTTTTATGTGAAATTAACAAAACAACAGTCATAGTCATGTCAACTCTACATATCAAGTTGTGCGAACTAATCACTGATAACAATAAAATTTCATCATTTCAAGTTTCTTCAACAATTGCTGTCAATATCATGAATGCATCGTTCATTTTATTTGAATTTTATGAACTCGTTGTGTATGACGATCGAAATTATCTTAAAATTTTGTTTTGTGTTGGTGCTGTTACTTATTTCCTGTATGCCACATTCGGAATAATTTTAATTATAATCATATCAAGTCTTACAATGAAGGAAGGCATAAGAACAAAAGAAGTTATTCATGATCAGATTTGCAAGACAAGAGTGTCACTTGATAAGAAAATATTCACAAGATTTCAATTGTTTTTGATGCAACTTGATCATTTTAATGCAAATATTTCGTGTGGATTCTTCAAACTTGATTGGAAAGTTTTGATGATGGTTAGTTGATTGGTTTATTTATTTTTGAAACAAAAGCTTCATTGTTTTATTCAACTTACATTGTATTCCAGATGATTGGCTCTGTAACTTCATACTTGATTATAATGATACAGTTTGGACAATTGATACGATCAAAAGATGTTTAAAAGTTCTACTATGTTCAAACTATTATTCTTCTGATGTTCATTAAATAGCAAGTTAACAGTTTTAAGTTTGTAGTTTGTATTTAACCCTTTAAGTCAGTAACAGCCAACCCATGTGCCACGGCACACTAAAGGATGGAGAGTCCCCAGCCTTTTTGAGCTGGAGGCACTGCGATTCAAATTAGAATAGAATCTATTGTACCAAACCCTTTAGGCCTTCAGTTCATAGTGGATTTGAATGACTTGCAATGGTTTCGGTCATTAATTGCCACCAATATGTTACTTGTCACAATAAAGGCTGCCCACCACTGCTTTAAGTATTTAATTACATTTGCAAGTCCAATTAATAAGCTTACAATCCAAACTAGTGTTTTTTAATTGTTACCACTTATTAAAACAGTTTTTCGTCGCATCGTTAAGTGTGTTTTTAAAATAAACTGTTATGTCGAACTAATATCACTAAGAATGAGCTATTTCAGACGTCGTATCTCGAAAAGACTGAGAAACACTGATGGACATACTTATTGATGTTTTCAAATTTCAATCAAATTAAGTGAAATGATGATGAATATCTTTTGAGTATTAATTTATGATCACATATTTCCATTCAAATATAATAAATGATCCCAATATATCCATTAAATCCAAACAAATATAGTAAATTAAATTCATTATTATAGCTTATAAAGTAAGCTCAATGGAGGAGTTGACAAATTTTTTCGCACAATTTACCAAAATTTTATTATTTTTTGGATATCTTCCTTTTAAAATCCTTACTAATGGAAGTTTGCATTTATCTAAAGCAATTTGCTTTTATTCTTTTTTATTTTTAATATTACTAGATTATTTTATTTATTTAAGAATTATTCATTTGAGTGAGTATCGACTTGAAGGATCTTTTTTGTCGAAAATATCATTTCTATGTGGAACTTTAATGTCAAGAGCATTTACTATGATATCAATTATTTCAAACATTTGTCAGAAGAAAAGATTGGAAAATGTTATAAAATTGATGTGGAATTTTGACAAAGAGGTAATTAAATTTTGATTCAAGTGATCTGGCTTATTTTTGGTGATCCTGGCTGGTCCATAATATAAAGTCTAACTTTTTGGACTATTTGATTTCCATAAGTTGTTGTTTTTTGATAATTATCAATTATTTGTAGTTTAAACAGTCCTGTGTGATTCTGTGTAATATTTTGTCAGCATGTAGCTATAGTAAGCTCAGAATTTCAATTTAGTCGATGTTAAGCCGAAATTTAAGCCGATCGGCTTAAAATCGGCTAAATTGAAATTCAGAGCTTACTATAGCTACATGCTGAAAAAATATTTCGCAGAATCATAGTAAAGCATGTAAAGTTCAATTTAAATACTTAAAATGGGTGTTAAATGGCTTTTTTCTATCAAAAAAATCAAAAATTGAGTTAAGCCGAAAAAATCGGCTTCGATCTCTGGTTTGGTGTAAACCTCACCATCCCTTGCCTTAATTTGGGGCTGCTATCCTAAAGGCGAGGTTTTTTGGATAGGTTTTTAATCTTTCCTATAAAGCACTTAAGCCGGCACAGGGCTCGGTCGACAACGGTGCATTTAGCGGTATTAAGGTATACCACGAGAAGGTTTACACTTGACAATTGGTCAGTTTCCAAGTCAGACTTCGGCTTTCCTCATCCCTCAATGTATAGTTTGCAAGCTTAAGTAAATTCTGAGGCCTACTTGTGGTGTGTCGTGATCCTTTAAGTAGCACTGTGAATCAATGGTTCTATCTTAATTCTGACATCCCTGCATCAAAGTATTTAAAACTTTGTAATTTTATTTTCATTTAACACAGGTTCAAAAATTCAGTATTTTCATGAACTACACAACGGTGAAAAAATTATCAAATGTCATAATTGCAACCATCGGTTCATCCTTTTTAACATTTCTATCTCTTCCTTGGGTAATCTCTTCATTTGTTTTCAAATTGGAAACTGAGGAATTCTTAAATGGAATCATTTTAAATATTTTCTGGTGTGGAATGTACCTGTACATTGCTATCTGTTTTATAATACTAGCTACAATTTGGATGAGAATTTATTTTGTGAACGAAATTGTTGGTAGAAAACTTAAAAAATCTGAAATAATTCTAGCTTCAAAAATGTATGTCAAACTATTTGAAATTTCATCAAATTCTAGTAAAATTTTTGCTTTTCAAATGGCCTTATTGATTGGAATTACTGTGATTAATGCTACTTTTGGATTATTTGAACTTTATACATTGTCAAAAGAGAAGTTAAATTTTGAACAAACTTATTACTGTGTCTGTGCAACAATTGTAAACAGTTGTTTCACAGTTGCCACAACTTTAATGATTTCAACCTCAAGTTTAACAATGAAAGAGGGAAAAAAGACTTTTAAAATCATTCACAATAGAATATGTAAAGGCATCTTTGAGTTGAGTGTAGAATATATGAGACGATATCACTTATTTCTGCTGCAGATTGAACATTTTTCAATTGATTTATCATGTGGACTCGTTATTATTGATTGGAAGGTGTTGATGAAGGTAAGTTAAGAATAATTTCTTGTGGAGCATTTTGCTTTCATACTTATTTTAACTGGCTGGGTCACTGAAATGACGAAAAAAGAAGCAACTGAAGCACTTCGTGATTTTTGTTTTTTTTTTTGGCATAAGGCAGCTGGTAATTAATAATGTGATTTAATTCATTTAACGTTTTACTCTTTAGTGGTGCATATAATTGATCATTACTGTCCAATGATGTTACTGCTTATTGATTTTAGCTTATATGTGACTGGATTCTTGTTCTTGAGAATTTATTTGACGTACATATATCTAGGCTGTCCAACTGCGCACTTTTGAGCGGGCAGTCCCGTTTTTTTGAACTTTTTTTTAATTGGAAAATGCTTGAAACGTTGGTCTGTCACTGTCCCGCTTTTTCAGAGCTGAAATTAGGACATTTTACCACTTTTGACCAACAATTTTGATAAAGTTATGGCCTCGTTGAAATAGTTTTGCACTGCCAGTTTCAGAAACTTGATTTTAAAGCATTTTGAACCAAACTTACTTGAAAACCAGCAATTTTAGCTTTTAAAATTTTACTTCGAGTTCGAAGGACTGCCAATTTTAGACATCGTTATTTTGAATCTTAGTGCCTCCAGCTCAAAAGGCTAGGCTCTCCATGCTTTACCTTTTTTAAAGACATCGTTATTGTAAAAAAAAACTTCAAACCTAATTCTATGTTTTTCGATTTAGTATTTCAGTTCAATTTACTCGTACTTGATAATCTTGATTCAATTTGAACTCCTGATGCGAAAAAAACAAAATATGATTTAAAAATGTTTTATAGACTAAAATGAAATTGAAATAAAAATCGCGACTGTGGATTTGGTATTTTTTTGTATATTCATTGATGATAAATAAGTTTTTTCAGTTACATTCATAAATAAGATAAATAGATTCTATCATAGATCAGGATAGGAGTGCCTTCAGCTCGTCGCAATGTGTAGTAACACATCGATTGGCTGGAACCCTCTTACATTATTATACATTAATAAATATTTGATTACATTTCTATTTACGTTTTCAATTTAATTAATCTTTTATAGTCATTTTTTTTTCATTTACATTATTTTTGTAATTCAGTTCATTTTTGTTTTGCTTAATATTGAGTTTAGGAATTTTTTGAAATTAAAAAATGAACGAACTTGTCGAAGCTTTTATACCATTAATAAAAATTTCAAACTTTTTTGGCTATTTGCCTTTTAAATTACAATCCAATGGGATCCTTAAGATCTCAATTAGTTACATCATTTACTCAATTATTATTTTAGTAGTTTTGGTTTATTCTGCATACTTAAGAGTCATTCATTTCGGTGAATATCGCCTGGAAGGATCATTCTTATCAAAATTTTCATTTCTATGTGCAATTTTAATGTCAATGGTTTTCGTTATGATTGCACTGTTTATGAACATTGTCTACAAGGAGACCTTGGATATGCTGTTGACAACGTTATTGTCCTTTGATAATAAGGTAAGATACAAAATGTAAAAATTCAGGATTATTGTAAATTTAGAATAGACTAAATCCCGAATGGCACAAGTCTGTTCATCGATCAGAAATCCGGAGCCAAGCAGGTGTGACTCTGGCATGTTGTTGAATTTAAATTGATGCCAGCACCATGCCAAAATCATGCCTGTTTGGTGCTGGATTTCTATTCGATTAGCCGACTTGTGCTATTCGGGAATAATCACTAGAGCACGAACTAGCTTTGACATTCATAGGTTCCAGCAAATTTGTTTCAAGGTACAATTTCTGACCGCTTAGATCAGCGTTTCTCAAATTTTTTTGATCCTTGGCACATTTTTTGGCATAAAAATTTTCGCAACACATGCTAATTCCATGAGACTCATGTGTCGTTAAGCAAACGACAGAATTACATAAAATCAACAGTTAATTTCAAGAGTTTAAAGTAAAATTGTAATTCCCTTAATGCTATATTAAATTTACAATGTACATGCATAAGTAATTATTGATAGCAAAAGGAATCTTTAAGTAATATATACACATTTGTAACGATCATTTACGATTCGAAGTTTCGCATCTTTTTTAAGCTATAGAAAAACCAAGCAATTGGAACTAAAAATTCTTTCCCTTCGTATCGTAATCGAGTTAACACGTCTTGTTACAATTTTTCTAAAACCCTTATGGTTTAATTAGTTGAACCCAGTAAAGTGAAATAAGTGTTAAAAGAGAATTAGCAATTTGTTACTCAATCACACTCATGGCACATTAACTGATTTTCATGAGCTTTTTGAAATCATAAAACTAGAAAATGTGAGGCAAATTTTAGCAAACACTAGTGAACCGCGGCACATAGTTTGAGAACCACTGGATCCGTTGATCATTACCATGAAAAAGTCTAATTTTGCCTCTACTGATTTATTTTAAAAATTCTTTTTGACTTTCTTTTTGAGCGCAGCAAAGTAAAAAAATTTTTTTTTTTAAATGCATTCAAATTAGGTCAAAAGCTTCAACTATCATCAGGATTACCAAAAATTTAAAAGAATTTCTATTGCAGCAATATCAATTGCTACTGTTTTCTTCATTGGATTTTTCACAATTCCTTGGTTGGTCTCTACACACATATTTAAAATGGAGCTTGAAGAATTTCTTGGTGGATTATTAATGAGCATTGTTTGGTGTGGAGTTTATGTTTATATAACAATATGCTGCTTTATTTTACTACTTATTCAAAATAGATTTGAAATAATTAACAAGATTGCAATCAGAAATCTATCAATTCCTGTAATTTTGATTATATCAAGACTTCATATGAGCTTGTCAGAGCTGGTGTCCAGAAACAGTAAAATATATTCATTTCAAATGACACTAATACTTGGAACTACGGCTACCAACACAACATTTGCTTTATTTGAGCTTTATATATTGTCTAAAGAAGATTTAAGTTTTGAAAAATCATATTATGTCTTTTGTGCAACAGGTATAAATATTGGCTTTTTTGCCGTTATAATTTTAATCCTAGCAACTTCAACATCTATAGTGAATCAAGGACAAAAAATACTAAAAGTTCTGCACATTAATATTTTCAAACAAATTAAAGTAAAAAATGTCAAAAGTTTGCGTGGAATTTACATTTTGCTTCTACAAATTCAACACTTTAATGCCAAAATTTCGTGTGGATTTTTTGAACTTGATTGGAAGCTTTTAATGATGGTAAAATAATAAATTATGATGAAAAAATAGTTAAATAATAATTTCTGGTTCTAGGCTTTCAATGGAATTTTCTCATACGCAATCATTCTTGTTCAATTTGAAGCATTAATTCGAAATAGACGAGAAATCGAATGATTAACATGAGAATAAAAATTATTTATTACCGAAAGGTAATTAAGGAACATAAAGTATATAATTAAATCTGTTTTGACATTTACGTATGAAAGGTTCTGATTAATTTTTAAAAATTGATCGTTACTCAATGTCAGAGCATCTTTATGATTTGTGTTGTAGTTCTTTAGCATTGGCGCCATCATAAGGCTCATGACAGAGATTAACATGAGAATAATTCACAAAATTTAGAAAGTCATCAATAGAAGAGTCATTGGTTAAAAGCAGGAGATTTAATAGAATCAAGTTGCTTCATAATTATTGTGTTTAATTGTTCAAATAAATAAAATAAAAATATCGCTCTGAAAAACAAAGCCGATAACCAAACTGATTACATGACTAAAAACCAAAGCTCGAAGTAAAGTCGAGTTGACTTAATTTTTTCCGAGTCCACTCAAGTCAACTTGAGTTGAGCCAACTTTTTCAAGTCAAATCCGAGTTGAATCGGCCTGGAGTCAACTTATTCATACAAAAATATTCCTGGGTCGACTCAAGTCGAGTCAACTCGAGTTTGACTCGGAAAAAATTGGTTTGACTCAAGTTGACTCAAGTTGACCCGAAAAAAATGAATTCGAATCGAGAAAATTTGAGTCGACTCAGGTTTGAGCTGAGTTCGAGTAAATCTCAAGTCAACTCGAACCCAATCGACTTTGAGCTCTGCTAAAATTTCATTTTTATTAAACTCAAATTGCTGATCAAGACCAAACATGGAATAATGCAGTTAATTAATATTTACTTACACTTAATTATGCTTGTTCACTATTTGATCCTTAGATCAGTAATTTTTTAATAAAAATTCAATTATACTAAATGTTTTGTTTTCCCAAAAACAAAAAAAAAATTATAGCTCTGTTAACTTCAAAGACTATTTGCTACTAAAATACAACAAAAAGAGTCAGGAAATATTTTAAACTATCAACTTGCAATGCTGTAAAAATGAACGAAGTTGCTGAAATATTTTTGCCATTTTTAAAAGTTTCAAATTTCTTTGGATTTTTTCCTTTTAATTTACAGACGAATGGAATCCTTAAAATATCAGTTCTCCGTATTTTTTATTCGTTTACTCTTCTAATGGTTCTCTTATATTCTGTATATTTGAGGATTATACATTTTGATGAGTATCGTTTGGAAGGATCTTTACTTTCTAAACTTGCTTTTTTATGTGCAATTTTCAACTCGATTGCTTTCATAATTATATCATTTTTCATGAATATAATATACAAAAATGTTTTAGAATCCATAATAAGTACTTTATGGAACTTTGATATTAAGGTTTGAATTGGTTAAAATTAAAATTTTGTTATTTCTAATTTTTTAATTCTTTCTGATTTTTAAGGTTAAAGTCTTCAACTTTCATCAAGATTATCGTAAATTAAAGAAACATACAGTTTTGATATTATTAATAGTGATTGTTGCTTTTATTGCTTTTTTCACAATTCCCTGGTTAATGGCAGCGAAAATATTTAAAATGGAAATGGAAGAATTTCTTGGTGGATTTTTAGCGAGTTTATTTTGGTGTGGATTTTATATTTACTCTACAACGTGCTGCATCCTTTTATTAGCAGCTCAAAAACGATTTGCAATTATTAATAAAATTATCAAAAGAAATTCAACAAGATCATCAATCTTATTAACATCTAAACTTCATATGAGCTTATCTGAGCTTGTGCTTAAAAGCAGTAAAATATTTTCATTTCAAATAGCACTTATGCTTGGAATGGCAGTTATAAACTCAACTTTTGGATTATTTGAAGTTTATACTTTATCAAAAGGAGCATTAACCTTTGAAAAGACATACTATTGCATCTGTGCAGCAGGTGTAAATGTTTACTTTTCCATTGCCATAATCGTTTTGTTTGGAACATCAAACTATGTGATGAAAGAGAGTCGAAAGACATTAAAAGTTTTACATTCTGGAATTTATAATGATAAAAAAATTAAAAAAGGAAAAATGATTCAAATTTTACTTCTTCAAGTTCAGCATTTCAATGCTAAGATATCATGTGGATTATTCAAACTTGACTGGAAAGCAGTAATGATCGTAAGTTAATAGAAAAATAATATTGAATATTAATTTGTATTTAAATTAATTTTAAGGGTGCACGTGCAATTTTTTCATACTTAATAATTTTGGTTCAATACGAGTCGCTGGTAAGAAGTCGACAAGAAAATGAAGGTACAGCATAAGAATTAATCACATCAAATAGTTACAAAACGAGTTACAGAGATGAAATGGATCAAAATCTTCATTATTGTTGGAATAAGTGATTCCATGTAATAGTCAGTAAACCATAAATCATGTAAGAGCAAGGGAGTGTAACTTTTATGCGATTTTAACCATAAAGTCGTCTAACCCCGATTAGTCAATGGTAGGAGCATGGTACAGGAAATCGTAAAACGTGGCTTTGAGCCCGCCTTCATTATTCGGAGTTATTCTAGTTTCTATGGTTTTATCAACTGGAAGTTTGCTTTTTCCTACTAAATGCAACTCAAAATGACCAAGACATACCACCAAAGACATCATCACAATCTCCAGCATCCATTTGGTGTTGTTGACAGGAGAAATAAACTTATTAAAACATATTATCTTGGTTATGTCTATTCAGGGGCGTAGCCAGGAATTTTAAGACTGCGAGACAAAAAAAATTTTAAATGGAAATTTCAAAGGGAAGGGGGGGATTTATTCATTAAACTCCTAGCAAAATGAAGAAATTTTTGTTGACGTTGGAGGATTTTCCCCCAAATCCCCCCTCACCCGCAACTCAGTTTTATACTTGGCTCAATACCAAAATTGATTTAATTTTATTAAATTCATCAACAGATAAAAAAGTTCGGTTGTAGAATCACAGTTTATGTTGTTTGTTGCTGCCTTATTTTATTCACAATTCCTTTTATTATTTTTTATGATCAACAAAAAATAAAAAACGTGCATTAACATAATCTGAAATAAAAATAATTTCAAACTTCAAATGAAAATTTATATTGCATTTAAAGAGCTTGTCATTCGCTTGTGACTCGTTTTAACTCGCTTGTTGAACTTTTTTTTTAAAGTAGCAGCATTTCATCTGCATTTTAAGGAAAATAAATTTCATCTGCACTTTTGCAGTACCATCTGTATCTTGGCAGTTTTATCTGCATTTTACGGGAAGTTTATTTTTTTTTTTGGATTTTTAGGTTAAGGTAATTTTTTCTGTTTCGGACTAATTTCTATTGAAAATAGGGTCGACTTTTCATCGAGTCTCCCAATTGGCTCTAATCCTGTTTAAAGAAAATGAATTAAATTACAAATAAATTCAGATAACTCAAAAATTTTTGATTAAAATTTTATTTTCTTTTTAAAAGTAGCTCAAACTGAATCATGATCAATATATACGACATTATAGAGCTGAAATACTATTAAAAAAATGTTAATATTTTAAAAATGTCAGATAAAATTAAGAACTTACCATTGTTATTATTTTCAAGTCAATTCTGAACAATCCACATGAAACATTTGCATTAAAATGTTGCAATTGTAGAAGAAAAAGTTGAACTCTTTCCATAATTTTTATGTCATATTTTACAGATGTTAAATAGATTCTACAATGAATATCCTTTAATGTCTTTTCTCCTTCGTTCATAGTCAAGTTAGATGCATATATCATAAAAATTATTCCACATACAAAATAACTTGCTGCAGTTGCTATAGCTATAACGTAGTAAATTTTATTATTATCATTGTGTCCATTTGCAGCCATATAAAGTTCAAAATAACTAGACGTTCCATTTAGTATAGAAATGCCAGTAAGCAATACAACTTGTAATGAAAATATCTTGTTGTTGTTTAATATCAAATGACATAGTTTCATGTGCAGTCCCGACATCTTAATTATTACAGATTTGTCCAAATTGTTTTGCAAGATTTCATTAATTTTTTCGTATCGTGATTTAATTGTGAAGAACAAAATTGAGCAAAATATAATGTAGACATAAATACCACACCAATTAAAATTAACTGCAATTCCATTTATGAGTTCTTCAGTTTCCATACTTATGAGTACAGCACTAACCAACAACATGCAGGTTATGAATATAAAATATCCCATCATAGCTCCTGCCATTAAAATAATGGAAAATCTTCTTGATTTTTGATAATTTGTAGTGCAATTGAACTTTTTTATCTGAAACAAAAAAAATTAAAAATTTAATGTTTTATCGATTTGACGAGTTTGGTTCAAGGTTTTGATACATGCACCTGTGCACAGGTAAGAACCGTACAATTCACTTCACTTTACTTACCTCATTGTCAAAACTCCAAATTCCTTTAAAAAATGAGCCGGCAATTTTACGATTCGTTAAGTTTATAATTAGAGTAATTATAAAGAAAACTAGCGTAGTGAAAATTGCGAATGTAAATGAGACTTTTGACACATAAGAACCTTCCATTCGATACTCATCAAAATGCTTAATTCTCAAATAAAGAAAATAATCTAATAAAATTAACAAAATTATAGAATAAATTAATTTTAAAACTGAAATCTTAAAAACTCCATCAGATTGTATATTAAAAGGCAAATAGCCAAAATATTTTAAAATTTCTAATAATGGCTTATAACTTTTCAATAAATCTTGCATTTTTGATAATTTAAACTTTCAATAGAATATAAAATATATGAATATTCTCAGTGCGAGTTTGAATTCGATTTGAAAATCAAATGATGATCACTTGAAGAACGAAATGTTTTTAGAGCATTTTTGAAACTTGTTTCTAAAAGGTAGCTTAATAATGCACTTTGTTCGGCTGCTCGTTCGGGCGAAGAAAAACTTTTTAACCAGACTTCGTAGAGAGCTCGGGTTTGTTTTATTAACTCAACTCTATCGAGTTATTGGCCGATCGAACAGTTAAAAATCTTAAAACAGTGTTTTTATACTTTAATTAATGATTTTTTTAATTCATATGAAAACCACGTTATGGGTGCGTTCAGAAATTTGAATTATTTTCTGCCGTTGTAAAAATTGTAATCGGGATGCGTTCAAAAATTCGATTGTTTTAACCAGTAAAAAGTTTGAATTTCAAAAAACCGTTAAATTTTATCAGCCTTTCTACATGGATATTCATTGTAATTATTTGTTAATTTCACTAAATAATAATCTTCTAATCTTCTAATGATCTGTAAATGAACGCAAAATAATTAGATAATCAAATAATGATCGCTAATGCGAAAATGCGCTTAAGTCCCTTGATCATTAACACGAGGACTTCTGTAATCTTTTAAACATTAATTTATAAATTCAAGTGTAGGCAGCTGAATTCACATTATTAATTACTATTGGTCATTTTTCAACTTAATTACAATGAATTTAACATTCTGAAATGACATCAAAAATTAAATAAAATTACAAAAAAGTGCATTTTGAAAAGTGACAAATTAATCGTTATTTTTTTTTATTGAATACATTAAGGCGTGGAAAGCTCAGGATTATTCCTTAAAAATCCCAAGAATCCTTGAGCCAATAAACATGAAAATATGAAATCCTTTTTAAATTCCAAAATTATTTATCAAATGCTTCAGGAAGTTCACATTTTCATGTTTATTGACTCAAGGATTTTTTTAAATTTTTCAGGATTAATCCTTAGTTTCCACGCATTGGAATACACAAATTTATTATTTTATTTTTTGTGAGACATAACTTGTGAATGCTCATTGATTAAATTACAATGCGCAAATGAATTAATTATCTAATTCATAGTGCCTGCTGCTAATTCTCTTGCTTTCTTTCCAATTTCTCTCTTTCTGAGGTAGTACAAGTAACAATATGCCAAAAATAGAATGCCAGAAATTTCGCACAATCCTAGAAGTTTTGGAATCCTACAGTCATTCAGGAAATACAGCTGTGATGAATGCCACATGATTAACAAGAACTGAATAATCTAATTTTTTAAAAGTATATAAAAATTTAAGATTTAGAACAAAAATTCAAGTAGTATCCTGAATAGCACAAGTCTGTTGGTCGACTAGAAACTTAGCGCTCAGCCAGCATGACTCTAGCATGGTACTGGCTTTGATTTAGATCCAGCACCATGATAGAGTCACAGCTGCTTGGTTCGGGTATACTTGCCATTCGGGTATACTTAAAAAATGACTTACATGCATAAATGTGTAAATCATCTTTAAATACTTCCTCATAGACTTTAATGAAAAAATTAAGTAGACCATTTGAACAGACATCTGACAAAAATGTTCTGATGCATTAATGTAGTGAATGAAAAGTGTATGACCTCCTGGATAGTAATTAACACACGTCCACAACATCAATGGAAATACTGAGTGATGAATCCATACCAGTGTTGCATTCTGGCTATTTGTCTGGATCAGATAAATTCTGAGACAGAAATTCTTCATAAAATCGATTCTACATGTAGAAAGAAAAAAACCATCTACATGTAGATTGTGTCTACATGTAGAATCTGTCTACATGTAGATTTAATGAAGATGTCTACGATTCTACATTCTTCTCTGATGTAGACCTGGAAAAAAATGTAGAATTATAGACATCTACATCGAATCTACATGTAGACAGATTCTACATGTAGACACAATCTACATGTAGATGGTTTTTTTCTTTCTACATGTAGAATCGATCTTTACGAAGAAAGTTTCTTAGCTAGACAAAAACTATTGAAGAATCTACATTCTTCATCTAGTGTAGACATCTACATTTGCAACACTGATCCATACATAAGTTGTATACTCGTCGGTTCTTTTTGACAAAACTACTATAAAGCTTTGAACTGTATATATGAATTTGGAAATCACAAATTCATGAGCCAATTTCACTTCCAGAATTGATAATAAAGAATTTGGCTGGCTACATGCTTGACAATTCCAGTTGTACTCAAAAAACCATAAATAAGTTTCATTATATACAAAATAAAATGATCGTGCATATAAAATCAAGACATGGATGAAAGTGTACTTGCTGTAGTCAATTGGTTTCCAATTTTCAATCAATCTTGGTAATATTTTTGTAACAATCACAACGTAGCACATGTAAATTGCTGCAATTCTGTACGGTGAGCCCATTAAGAACTTGTCTCGAATTCTTTCATCCGCTTGGTCGTAGAAAATATTCAGTAAATCTGATACTTTTGTTGAGTTCATGATTTTTATGCAACCAGGAAAAATGATTTAAATTCTCACAAAACCTAATACCTTACAGAACTAATTTTTGAAGATTTATAGCCCTCAAACTAGCGTTCAAATGATAACTAAAATGAAAATGATTTTATTTCTTTTTGATCTTTTATTTCCATCATCATTAGATTAATTTATAACTGGTTGTAAAAGAATGTTAAATTTATTCTTCTTTGTTTCATTTAAATCAAAACCTGTATTGTTTTAGAGACAATTAATAAATTATGCTTTATTTGAAGAAACATGTTTGACAATAAAACTAATTTCTGATTGTAGATTTTCAATAAAATAAAATAAAAAAAAAATCTTTTTAGTAAGTTTTGGTTTAAGTTGTAGATTGTTTTAATTTTTTTACATTATATTACATTCATTGACAATATGCTGTCCGGTAATAGTTCACATTTTTTTTACATATTTGTGATTATATGTTATTAATTAATATTATGTAGGATCAAACTTTCAATCTTCAAATCTAAGTTTCATAAAAACTAAGGCTTTCGTTTCGATCTTCTGTGGGCGTGACGTGATACTTTTCATGTCAAAAGATGCCTCTGAGGATCCTCTTCTCGAAAACACCAATTGCATACTCGTCTGCTGAAGTCATATTCCATGACTCTGAACCATAAAGCACTACTAGGCGTATGAGGGTCTTATATATGGTTAATCTGGCATTTCTCGAGATTTTTCTCATTCAAAAGTGTCAATCAATGGATCCTAGGTAGACCTTAACGTTCTCAACGTTTCTTAATCCAACGTTGCCCAAACGCCCAATTATGGCTTAATCTCGTACATTAAGCAGTCGAAGTATCTAAACTTTTTAAAAAGAACAAATTTGGAAATGGCTGGATTTAAACCGACGACCTTTGAGTTACTCACTTACTTCTTTGGCTTGGGCGCACGTGGGCCCATCACCGCGTTCAGAGATCGTCTAAAAAACTGCTTTATCCTTCGAAAACGTCTGCCATTTCGGGATATTAAGTACTCCAGCATCCTTATCAACACATCCAATCCAAGTATTCTTTGGTCTTCCTCTAGATCTCTTGAACTTCGAGTTGCCATCTCAAATTTGAACCAAGCGCCTTTCCTATTCGACCAGCAAGGCGCTTAATTACTTTATTCTTTAATTAAATATAAGTCTTAAAAGTTCTTCTAGTTTTGTAATAAAATATTTATTTAATTGTTATTTGTAATGCTCATAAGTTTTCTTAATTTTTTTGCCTTATTAAAAAGGATATCAAGTGTTGAATTATTGGGTGAAAAATCAAAATCAATTTCCTCCAAACTATCAACTTGTGTCATTAAGAATTCATCAAAGAAGCCACTGATTAATGTTTTATTTCTTGTATAAGTTTTCAATGATTGAAGCTTAAAATTCACTTTCTTGCTAATGTCTTGAGATAAAAAGTTGATTTCGCCGTCGATTCCAGTTACTATTAAGTTCAAAACCTTTAAATTTCTTTGTTGTAAGATAAAATCAGTCATAATCTTTTGATGCTTAGATGAGTGAATAAAAATTGTCAATTTTTCCAAAGTTTTTACTTGTTTTGTGACTTTTAAAAAGTTGTACAAGTCAACGACTTCTATTTCTAAAACTTTTAATTTTGGCAATTCAATGGAATTGATATTTAGTGTCCAATATTCATTAAATTCCAACTTATCTTGATCTTCTGTAGAAAATGAACAAACTCTACAACAAGCACATTCAGGTGGAGCATTGTCGAATAAAAATTCAACCAAATTTGGTGTTTGACTCAAACACGTCCTCAAAATTTCTGAACTTTCTGAAGTGAAATTTATCTTCATATTTTTTATGAGATTTCCTTTAAGTTTGAGGAATTTTAGTGATTCAGATTTCTCTGATTTTAAGATGCAATTCAAGTTGAATCCCAATTTTGTCATGATTTTTGGAGTTTTAAAAATGTAGTTATTAATATCTCTTGACAATTCCATGCAGCTTTTGATGTCATTGATGTCAGTTAAGTTTGAAATAATTTCGGCGATTATTTCAATTGGGAAATAAGGCAAATTGATCTGGATATTAAAGAAAAAATTATTATCAAGTTTGGCCTCAAAACTTACATTATCACTTACATTATTGCCTTCATCCTGATCAAATGATGTGATTTTTTGAATTTTACTCTTAATCCCAGAGTCTTTACTTTGCAATCTTCTTTTCAACATGGCTGACTTTTTTTTCTATTTTGTAATATTTTTTGTTGATAGTTATTGAATAATATGAAATAAAATTCTTTATGCAATTAATTTATATTGTTTAAAGAATATCTTTAAAAAACTGAGATCAACAATTTTATAAAAAATAAAAAGTTTATGATTTGTTTTGATGTTTGAGAATTTCTAGTTTATTTATTTACAAATAATTAATCAAAATATGGATCCTCGATTTTAATTTATCAAATTAATAAATATTTTTTTTTAAAAAGCTATTAAGTTACTTCATAAGTAAATGAAGCTGATAAAATTTTCTCAATTTATTTTTAACATTTTAACTCTTTAAATTAAATCTGAATTAATTTTAGATTTCATTAACGATTCGAATTGAATAAGGACTACTAAATAAGAAAATGTTGAGCCTAGAAACTTTAAAAAATATAAATTAAGATAGTTTATGAAAAAATTATATTTAAGTTTCTTTTACCATCGTCATGACTTTCCAGTCTAAGCGATAAAATCCACATGATACATTAACATTAAAATGTTGTAATTGAAGTAAAATAATTTGAAATTTTTGAATTCTCCTTTTATCATAAACTTGAGGTTTTCTGTAAATTTCAACATGAAGAACAGCTAAAGTGTTTTCGCCTTCACTAGTTGTATAGCTTGATGTTCCCATAATAAAAGCTACAACTAAAGTAAAGAAGCAGCACGTCGTGGTTGCCATAATACTAAAATAAAGATCAAGTCCCCCAGTATGATCTCTGATAGCTATGTAAAGCTCAAAAATGCAAAGCGTTCCATTAAGTATAGACATTCCAGTCATAACTGCCATTTGAAATGAGAAAACTTTGCTGATCATTGACGCCATTTCACAAATATTCATGTGTAATTTAGAGATTGTTTTTATTTCAGCTCTTGTTAAGATCCTTTTTAAAATTTTATTAATCATGAACAGCCTTAAACGTGTTGTAAATAAAATAAGACAGCAACACACAATGTAAACAGTGACTCCACACCAACACAAATTCAAGAATGCTCCAACAAAAACTTCTTTCATTTCCATTTTAGCTATGATAATGTTAATCAGCCACATAACAAAAATTATGCTACTGAAAGCAATTACTGCGATAGCTACAATAAATATTGAACATTTGCGGCTCTTTTGGTAGTTTATGTTGAAGCCAAAATGTTTGATCTGTGAAAAGATTTTTAAAAATAAATTAAATTTCCGTACGGCACAATTGAAAAATCTTCCGTCAAGGTTCTGCTATGGAGTGAATTACTAACACCAATATGGAATATATTCGGAACCTTCACGGAAGTTTTTCAATTGTGCCGCTCGGGATTTGAAGTTTGATTAACTTTTTAGATCAGTTTTCTACCCTTGCCACCAAGGCATGGACATAAAATTTCATCTGGAATAAAGGGATGATTCTTCCAGTGTCCATGCTTTGCTTGCCACTTTATAATTTTGCTAATTCTAGGGAAAGTCTTGAATCTCTTTGTCTTTTAACACTTATGATAAGGAAAAAAAAATGTGTTGCCAGGCATGTGAATTTCACTAAAGTGGATTATCCTCAATTTCGGATTATCCACTTCAGTTTTTTGTAAACATCTTAAACTTTCTTGGCAAATTTAGTAGATTACCTTCGATTTCTGCTATAGTTCTCAAACTAATGAAGTGTAAAAATTTTAAGTATTTGCTAATTTAAGTAGCAAAGTATTCTAAGTATATCACACGTTAGATCTCTTAATAACCTTAATCGCCTGGAGATATTTTCAAAAAGCTGAAGTGGATAATCCGAAATCGAGGAAACTTTCAACAATTTCAAATTCGAAACAATTTCACTTTAGTGAAATTGGCCGTATGTGTTTTCAAATCAATATATTACGTCCAGGAGGGGGGTGGAGGTCAACAAGAAAAGAACAATAAAATTTCCTGAAAATTGACCATTAATTCTGGATGTCATAAGTGAACGACCCATAATCATTAATATCGAAACTTATTAATGTTATTACCCTAATTTTTTTACATTTGAATTATTTCACTCACTTCTTCATCAAACTTCCATAATGTCTTTAAAAATAATCCAAGTACATCTCGATTAACAAAATTCATAATTTGTATAAAAAATACGAAAACTTCCGTCAATATGACAATAATAACGAATGAAATTTGAGCTAGAAATGATCCTTGTTTAATGAATTCTTTCATTTGAGTATAATGTAGATGAATTAATAAATCTGAAACTCCAAATAACGTAACCACATAGCTTATTAGAATCCATGATATTGTTAAATTTCCATTAAGATCTATATTGTATGGAAATAATCCAAAAAAATTTAATATTTTCACAAGCGGAGTTAATGTTTGATGTAGTTCGTCCATGTTATTAAAACTTAGTAAGCAACAAGTAATAAATGTTAATTAATATAATTGATTATCAGTTTTAATGGTGTTTCGGAAGTTTTTTATTTCAATATTAATTCTTGCCTGATAGCTATTTATAAATTATCATTAAAATTATCAGTTGAAGTATGTGAAACAAATGTTGTAGGTGTTGTTGACTTGCGATTGTGATGGTGATGGATTTTTCGTTGCTCATAAACATTTTCCATTTCTGCAACTTTAAGGTTTTGGTTTTTAATCTGATTTAAACCAGAATAAGCTTCTTTTGGTCTGCTTTGATGTCTTCTTAGATACCAACTACGACGAGGCTTCACTTCCTCATTATTGATTTGGTTTTCATTTTGATCAATTAATTCATTTTTAGACTTTTGATTAAAGTTTTTATTTTCACGTCTTCTTAAATTATAAGTATGTCTTTCAGGAGTCACGTTGTCATTTCGATCATCTGATTGAGGCTCATTTGATTTATGGTACCAGCCTGGAGGACGATGGTTCTCATGTTTTTTAATATTATTGGTCACTTCTTTATCATTCTCATTATTTTGTCTGCGTAATTCACGAATTTTTTGTCTTTCACATTTTAAACTATTGTCGACATTTCTAGCATCAGCTTGCTTTTCCTTTTCATTCTTACAATCTTTTATGCGCCATCGAAGAAATCTTCGAAAATTTGAGTTGTCATTAGCATCTTTTGGAAGTGGATTGGCATATTCTTCCGCTAATTTTGTTTCCGAATCTGCCAAAGCTATGTCTTGATGTCTGCGTTGCCATCTCCTTGCAATTGCTTCATTATTATGATTGCGAGTAGCAATTGCACTTTCAAGTACTATTGCAAATAAGAACAAATAACTCAGGTTCATTTTTGAATTTAAAACACTTTAGATTTTTTTAAATTAGTTATTAAGTTTTATTTTAAAATTAGTTCCAAAACGAGAATTAAATTTTATGTTGTGTTGTCTAATTGAAGCTTTGAATTGAACTGATAACTGACCAGTGACATTTATCTGTTTTTTTACAAATTCTTATCGTTTTAAACCAGCTGATTAATACGCATAATGTAAACAAAACGTAAATTTATCAGTAAAATGACGAGAGATTCGGAAGGAATGAAATAAATAACACGATGATTGTAAAGAACATTTCTAGGACAAAAACAAAATAATTCTCAAGAATTGATGCAATGAGTTAAGAAATGTTCGGGGATTTTTTCCTTCCGTAGACAGCAAGTTTTGATCTACTTGCTACTTGTGACGGTTGCAGATCTTTTTAGGGGTTGACTCGGAGTTGACTTCGAGCTCTGTTAAGTATATTTTCTGTATATTCTAAAATTTTGCAGTATTTAACACATTTATTGAGTTAAATGATGAACAATAAGTTCTATAAGTTTCCATTAATTAAGGATTCATCCGGGATTTCATCAACGATTCAAACTGGATAAGAACAATCAAATTCGAGAAAACTGTACCAAAATACTAAAATAAAAAATTGAAATTATAAATTGATATAAAATTACCTTTTAACTCAAATTCAGCAATTACCTGCATCATGACCTTCCATTCCAATTTGTATAATCCACAAGAGATATTTACATTTGAATGTTGAATTTGAAGTAAAAACACGTGAAACTTCCCTAAAACATCAGTCTTTTGTGTCCAATTTTGTTTGAAAATTCCTCTATGAAAAACTGCCAAAATTTTTTCACCTTCATTTGTCATAATGCTTGCCGTTCCCATGATTAAGGCAACATAACCAATAAAAAACAAATTGAAAATCGTAGCAAAAATGCTAAAAAATAAATCAACACCGTAAGCATGCTCCTTAATTGCAAAATAAAGCTCAAAAAAGCAAAATGTTGAGTTTACGAGAGAAACTCCAGAAATGAAGGCCAATTGAAATGCAAAAATTCTTCCATTTTCAGATGCAAGTTCACAAAGATTCATATGCAGGCTTGAAATCATTTTAATATCTGCTTTTGGCAAAGATTTTGTAGCAATTCTGTTGATGATTGACAGTCTTAATCGAATCGTAAGAAAAATCAGACAAGAGCACATAATATAGACACTAATTCCGCACCAGGCAAGATTTAGAAAAGTTCCGATTATAATTTCCTCAATGTCCATTTTTGAAATAACTACATCGATGAGCCACGGGACAGAAATAATAATTGTGAATGCAACTACAGTCGTTATTAATATGGTTGAAGTAAATGCTTTGCTTTTTTGATAGTTTATTGAATAGTTGAACTTTTTGATCTGAGGGATAGAAAAAAACAGTTCAGAGAAGGCACAACCTTTTGAGCTGAAGGTTCTGCGATTCAAATTAGAATATAATCTATTGTACCACACCCTTTAGACCTACAGTTTATAGTGGGATTCGAGCCACTTGCAAGCTCTGCATATTGCAAAGTCACGAGTACATCATAAGACCTGTTGTACCCTGCAATGTACCTAGTCAAAATTCGTGTGCGCAAGATGCTGTAATGAAATCATCCAGATGCGATATTCTAGTATATCTAGCAAAAGAGACACGTTTTGTGCCGAAGACCTCAAAATTACACTCAACACACGAACCGAGCTTCGTAACTAGAACGGTGAAAAGGAAAAAGAGCTTCTAAAACTTGACTTTTGCCTGTGATTGAACCCAGAACCTTTAAGTAAGGCCAACGCTCTACCACTTAGGTGATGCCATTTCACCGCTTGAATATTGAAAACTTAACCTCATTTTTGAAAAATTCAAAATAAATCCCCAATTATTCCAAAAAAAACTTGTAATTCTTACCTTTTGATCAAACTTCCGCAAATAATTTAAAAACTTCTCAAAAAACTTGCGATTGATGAAGTTTAAAGCATGTGAAAGTAATATGAATGCTTCCGTTAGTGATGAAATCAGAATTATTGCAAATTGTGCTAAAAATGACCCTTGCTGAATATATTCATTCATATGAATAACTTGTAAATAAATAAAATAATCTAAAATTAAAAATAATGAGACAATGTAGCCAATTTTAAGCCATGAAAGATCCAATCTTCCATCAGGACTAATGTTGAATGGAAAAAATCCAAAAAAATTTGTAAATTCCACAATTGGAATAAAGCTTCTGTATAGCTCGTCCATTTTTTTGATCGAAATGGAATGTAATTTAGTTAAATTGTCGAATAATTATGTCTCTAATGTCTTTAATGGAACAATATCCAATAATTACATGCAACAGAGTTAATTTATAAATTTTGGTAATTGCATGATTGAAGCCAGTGTAGTTGTAGGGGTTTTGAGTGATGATTCTAGAGTTGTGATGACAGTTACCTGTAACAGGTGAAAATGACAGATTCTGTCAAAAGATCACCTGTCACAGGCCGTTACCTGTTCGTAGATAAAATGTTTTGATCTGTCACAGGTCTGACTTGTCATAAGTTCTACCTGTCACAGGTTGCAACCTTTTGACAGGTCAAATTTTTCCATCTGTCACATTTCTGACCTGTCGCCTTTCGTTGCAACTCTGCATTTCAGATCCATTGTGATCGAGAGGTGCATTCATAGTTAATGTGCATTTAACGAGTGAGGATGCGCCAAAACCACTTCACTCAAACCTAGACCTACAATTTATGGTGGGATCCAAACCAATCCTTTGATGACATTTCTGTCTGTAACCTACAAAGAAAAGCTGTGAGCCTCATTTTCAGTGCATATGATTCAAAAAAGGACAAGTGAAAAATTTTTCATACCAAATCTCGAAATGTTCGCTGTGCCAGTATTGCAATAATTAGGTACCGAAGTACTAAACCATTAAGCCACCGAGCCACTTCAGCTCACGTGCTTAAAAACAGTTATTTTTAACCTTGTAAAATACACTACTCAAGTCCAACACTGTGACAAGTGACATCGGTAAACATAATAATATACTGTACACATCAAGTCTACTCTTATTGATCAATTGTTCGTTTTATCATTGGAACAAATATTTTTTTTATTTAATTAAAATAGAAACTTCAATGTGAATCCTTCAAAAAAATCAAATTCATTGTTTTTATAAAAATGAAAAAATTATTACACAGTTTTGATCCGATTGTAAAAGTTTCCACCTTTTTCGGCTATTTTCCATTTAAAGTTCAATCTGATGGAAAATTAAAATTGTCAAAATTTAAAATTTTTCACTCAATTTTATTGATGTTATTAATAGATTATCTAATTTACCATAGAATAATGAATTATAATGAGTATCGTATGGAAGGCTCATTTTTATCAAAGCTTACATTTTTAATCACAAATGTTTTAGTGACTGTCTATTTTCATTTCTCAATTGTGATTAATTTGTTTTTTGGTAAAATATTTGAGAAATTTTTAAAGGTCTTTTGGAATTTTGATAATGAGGTGAGTCAGGCGCGTTGCCAGGAGGGTCTTGTCCCACCCTTAAACGTTTTGAACCGCAGCGAGAGTACGGCCTAAAACGCTTAAGAGGTTGACAAAACCCTCTTGGCTACGCGCCTGGGGCTAGTTAATTCCTTTGTAAGTCAGCCTTGGATGAGCGATGAAATTGGATGAGTAGTCTAAATGGTAGAGCGTTGGCCTAATGTGCCAAAGGTTCTGGGTTCAATCAAAGGCAAAAGTCAAGTTTTAGAAGCTCCTTTTCCATTTCACCGTTCTAGTTACGAAGCCCGGTTCGTGTGTTGGGTGTTGTTTTGAGGACTTCGTCACATAACGTGTCTCCTTTGCTAGATATACTAGGATATCGCATCTGGATGATTTCATTACAGCATCTTGCGCACACGAATTGTGACTAGGTACATTGCATGGTTCATCAGGTCTTTAGACGTACTCGTGTCTTTGCAATGTGCAGAACTTGCAAGTGGTTCGGATCCCAGTATAAACTGTAGATCTGAATGGTTTGGTACAATAGATTCTATTCTAATTTGAATCGCAGTGCCTCCAGCTCAAAAGGCTCAGCCCTGTTCATGCTTTATGTTTGCTTTACCAGCCTTGCTTAAGTATATTGATGGCAATCAAGTCTTTGTGCATTTATTCATCATTTTAGGTCAACAAATATTTAAAATTCGAGAACAATAATTATTTAAGGATATTATCAATACTAATAATGTCTATAATCACAATTGGATTCTTGATATTTGTAACCTCTGGATACATTTTGACATCAATATTTTCAAACATGAAAATAAAAGAAATTTTAGGAGGACTAATTTTGACATTTTACTGGTGTGGTGCATACTTGTACAACATTATATCAGCATCTATAGTTTTCTCATTCAAAAGTAGATTTGAAATAATTAATAAAATTATTCCACAAAATATGGAAAAATTTGCAATCATGGAAATGTCGTTGCTTCATGTAAAAATGACTGAACAACTGAAACAGCAAAGCATCATATTTTCACTACAAATGGCATCAATTATTGCAATTGTAATTGCCAATACAACATTTAGCTTTTTTGAATTGTACATATTGATTAAGGATAATCTTAAAGCAGGAAAATATTTTTTTAGCATAGCTTATAATGCTGCTAATTTGTACTACACTTTTGGAATATTTTTCATTGTGACTATTTGTAAACTTACAACAAGTGAAGGAGAATTGACATCACAAGCTTTACATGATGGAATCATCAAAATTGCATCAAAAAATGACAAAATTGTTATGAAAAGATCTCAATTGTTTTTATATCAGCTTCAACATTTCAATGCCGACATTTCAAGTGGATTATTTACTTTTGATTGGAAAGTCATGATGATGGTAAGGAGCTGTTGATAAAAAATAATCAAATTGACCAAATTCAACTAGTATGTTTTTATTTTAAGTTTTTCAGTTCAACAACATCTTATTTAATTATCTTAATACAATTTGAATCACTAATAAAAGCTAATTAGCATCAAGCAACTAAGCAAGCGATTGAGAGATCCAAAGTTGGATCAGGTTGTTGCAGTGATGGTCAATGTGATCCATGTCCAATGTGTATGTTATTGTCCCGTTGCACAAAAAAGATTGTCCATTACTGGGTTGGAGTATTCATATAAAGACATGCAATAAATTTTGGAAATTATAAACATTTTTTTATCAGAAAAACAAATCAAAATATTTTTTTGTGCTCGAGGTTAAACTTTTTTTTCAACCCCTAATTGAAAAATTGTCTCGAGGGTAAACTTTTTTTCTACCCCTTAGTGAAAAATTGCATCGAGGGTAAACTTTTTTTCTACCCCTTAGTGAAAAATTGCATCGAGGGTAAACTTTTTTATCTACCCCTGAGTCAAAAATTGTTTTGAGGTTAAACTTTTTTTTCTACCCCTTAGTGAAAAATTGCATCGAGGGTAAACTTTTTTTTCTACCCCTGAGTGAAAAATTGTCTCGAGGGTAAACTTTTTCTTCTACACCTGAGTGAAAAATTGTCTCGAGGGTAAACTGTTTTTCTACCCCTTAGTGAAAAATTGCATCGAGGGTAAACTTTTTTTTCTACCCCTGAGTGAAAAATTGTCTCGAGGGTAAACCTTTTTTTTAACCCCTGATTGAAAAATTGTCTCGAGGGTAAACTTTTTTTTCTACCCCTGAGTGAAAAATTGTTTTTAGGTTAAACTTTTTTTCTACCCCTGAGTGAAAAATTGTCTCGAGGTTAAACTTTTTTTTTCTACCCCTGAGTGAAAAATTGTCTCGAGGGTAAACTTTTTTTCTACGCCTTAGTGAAAAATTGCATCGAGGGTAAACTTTTTTTCTACCCCGATTGAAAAATTGTCTCGAGGGTAAACTTTTTTTCCTACCCCTGAGTTAAAAATAGTCTCAAACAGCTATCATTATGGCAACAGGCTGTTTGAAATGGATTATTTAATTTAATTAACTTTGTAATTTATTTTTTTTTTTGGGCCATTGGAAACAATGTTCGGTTAAAAGACACTTTATCAGGCATTATTGATCATGTCACATAGCTTTAGACGTTCTCATTTTCTATGTAATCGACAAAATTAAACAAAACCGCTTTTAATGAATGAGTAATTACACTTGATTATAAAGTTGGCTACAAAAGCTTTTACAATGATGAGACATTATATTCATCAACTTATTATCTTCGAAATTCCATTCTGAATTCGATATTGTTTAGCAATTTGTGTTTTTTTTTTTAAAAAAATTAAATTAAATTACTGTAAATAAAAAATGCAAAACTTGCTCAAAAGTTTCAGGCCACTTTTAGAAATTTTAAAATATTTTGGATATTTGCCATTTAACTTACAACCAAATGGATGCTTGAAGATTTCAACCTTAAAAACTGCTTATTCATTCATGTTACTGATTTTATTAGATTATTTTATATATTTGAGAATTAAAAATTTTGATAAGTACCGAATGGAAGGTTCTTTTGTCTCAAAACTTTCTTTTACATTCGCAATTTTAACGACAACTTTATTTTTCAAGATGACTGTCATTTTAAATTTAATTAATCAGAACATTTTTGATATTTTTTTGAGAGGAATGTTGAATTTTGATAATGAGGTAATTATAGAATATTTAAGTGGCAGAGCTCAAAGTTGATAGGGTTTGAGTTGACTCGAGTTGACTTCATTTTCTCGGAGTCAACCCCGAGTTGACTCGACTTGAGAAGAAAGTCAACTCAAGTCGACTTCGAGCTCTGCTTAGGGGTCGTTCACTTATGACGTCCAACATTTAATGCTCTATGATTCATCATTTTTTTGTGCCTATGATTGGACGTCACAAGGGGGAGGGGAAGCTTTGTGACCGAGAAGCGAGAAGGGGGTTTAAAAATTATATTTTTTGATGGACGTCATATATGAACAGCTCCTTACACAAGTAACAAATTTTAGTTAAATCTTTAGATGATTTTAAATCAGAAATCAAAAGTTAACAAAAATAATAATTTCAGGCAAAAAAGTTCAACTTTATCCGAGATTACATTCGAGCTAGAAAACTGTCACTAATTTTAATGGCAGCAGCAATCACTGGATTTATCATATTTGTAACATGCATGTTTTTAATTGGCGCAAAACTTACAAATATGGAAACCGAAGAGTTCATCAGCGGACTCGTCGTTAACTTCAATTGGTGTGGTGTTTATGTCTTCATTATTTTTTGTTCCATTTCAGTTTTTACAATCACGGCACGATATGGAGTAATTAATAAGATTTTGCAGCAAAACTTAGAAAAATCGGTTATAATTAAAATGTCAGAACTGCACATGAAATTATGTCAATTGATGTCAAACAATAGTAAAATGTTTTCATTCCAAATGGTCTTGCTTACTGGAATTTGCATCTGGAACACAACATTTAGTCTTTTTGAACTTTATATGGCTGCAAAAGAGCACAACAGCATAGATAAAGTTTTTTATAGCATAGCCGTAACAATTGCAACAGTTTATTTCACATGTGGAATATTCTTCATTATTACAATAAGTAGCTTGACTATGAATGAAGGAGAACAGACATTAAAGGATATTCATTGTGGAATCTACTTAACATCTGCAAGATATAATAGAAAAATTATGAAAAGAATTCAAATATTTTTACTGCAATTGCAACATTTTAACGCAAATGTTTCCTGTGGATTGTTCAAAATTGACTGGAAAGTAATGATGATGGTAAGTTGGATAGTTTTATCTTTAAATATGAATTTAATCAATCTATGCTTAGTATTTCAGGTCAATGATGTCTTATCTTATAATTCTAATCCAGTTTGAATCACTAATGAAAACAAAATAAAGCTTCTAAAAAATTATAAACAATTTTTTGATGTTTAACATTATTTTTGACCTTAACTTGTATTAGAAATCAAAACATCATATATAATTCAAGTTAAAAAAATGATGTAAATAAACACGAAAGCTGACAAAGATATTAAAAAAAAAAGATTAAGGTGCGCGACATTCGTTTAACCGCACCATAATTTCTTCAATTTTCACTTTTATAAACACTTTAAGGATGGCAACTATTTATTATTTTTAAAGCTGTTTCCAAGTATGTTTAAAATTAGTAAAGAGAAGTCAGCTAAATGTTGTGCCTTGTTAAATTAATTAATTTTTTTATAAATTACAACAACAAAGTGCGAAGTTCGTTTAGCCGCACTTTGAAAATATTAAAATTTTGAGCTGTAAACTTTATTTATTGTACTTATTCTATTCTTAAAGTATTTAAGCAACAAAAATCTATGTTTGCAGACAGTTCCAGAATTTTCCATTAAGTTTTTCACGAGATTTTCCTTCATTTATTTTGTCATACTAGAAATATCTTCAAAATTAATTTTTGCTGTTATTTTTCATGAAACTGTAATTGTTTTGACTAAATTAGGTAGAAAATGGTTTAAAGTATTAAATGAATCACAAATGTCTTCACCTTTTAATAGTTTTAGGACAAAAATTTGAGAAAAATATGTTTGAGGTGATAATTTTTCACCACTTTGTTATAATCATTAATAATTTTTGACAAAACTGCACATATCATATAGAATTTGAATAGCCTACCGTATTTATCATATTAAACTTGACATAAAACAGAAAACTGCATAGTTCTATGACTAATAGAACTTGAAAATTTTATGAAAGATTTAGGTTGTGGTGAAAAATTTCCACATAGAAAAAATAAATTTCAAAAAAAAACTGTATTAAGCTATTGTTTCATTTCAATAAAGTTAAAACAGTGTTTTCTTAAGAAGAAAAATTAAAAATGATCATTAAAAACATTAATGAATGAAGTTTTTTTGGAATTTATATTTTCTATGTGGAAATTTTTCACCACAACCTAAATCTTTCATAAAATTTTCAAGTTCTATTAGTCATAGAACTATGCAGTTTTCTATTTTATGTCAAGTTTAATATGATAAATACGGTAGGCTATTCAAATTCTATATGATATGTGCAGTTTTGTCAAAAATTATTAATGATTATAACAAAGTGGTGAAAAATTATCACCTCAAACATATTTTTCTCAAATTTTTGTCCTAAAACTATTAAAAGGTGAAGACATTTGTGATTCATTTAATACTTTAAACCATTTTCTACCTAATTTAGTCAAAACAATTACAGTTTCATGAAAAATAACAGCAAAAATTAATTTTGAAGATATTTCTAGTATGACAAAATAAATGAAGGAAAATCTCGTGAAAAACTTAATGGAAAATTCTGGAACTGTCTGCAAACATAGATTTTTGTTGCTTAAATACTTTAAGAATAGAATAAGTACAATAAATAAAGTTTACAGCTCAAAATTTTAATATTTTCAAAGTGCGGCTAAACGAACTTCGCACTTTGTTGTTGTAATTTATAAAAAAATTAATTAATTTAACAAGGCACAACATTTAGCTGACTTCTCTTTACTAATTTTAAACATACTTGGAAACAGCTTTAAAAATAATAAATAGTTGCCATCCTTAAAGTGTTTATAAAAGTGAAAATTGAAGAAATTATGGTGCGGTTAAACGAATGTCGCGCACCTTATCAGCATACAATTTTAAATATTAGTATTATCACAAAATTAGCAAAACTAGCATTAAATAAATAGTTCAGAAAATAAAAAATTTGAACAAAAATTGAAATAAAAAAACTATTATTTTTAAAGATCTAAATTATCATGAATTTAGACGTGCAAAAATATTTCGAAGTTTCAACAATTCATGGACTTGTTTACATTTCCAAAAAACATCATGTAATTGAAAGGTGCATTTTTGGTTATTCCTGATTTTTTTTTTGAATTTTAATTGTAATTTTTTTTAGAATTTTCTGGATCATCGCACAAATATTTTCAATTATTTGCACATTAATGCTATTCGCTGAGCTTATAATTAAAGTTCATAACTTTCCTATAGTAACTTACTTGTCTGATCAGTCGATATCTGTATCTGAGGTAGGATCAGGGGCGTAGCCAGGAATTTAAAGAGTGAGGGGGGAGGACAAAAAAAAATTTATGGAAAATATAGAGGGTAGGAAGGGGGATTTTTATGATTTTTTCATAAAACTCCTTGCAAAATGAAGAAATTTCTGTTAACGTCGGGAGATTTGTCGCCCAAATCCCCCCCCCCCTTGGTTACTCGCCTGGGTAGGATAATTAATCAAAAGCAATCAAATACCTTCTTTGGGTCATTTATATTAATTTATCACCTTTCGAGAAATATTTAGAAAATAAAGTTTATGTTTTAGATAAATTTTCCTGCTGTGTCAGTTTGTCCAAGACTAAAGCTTGATATGGGAGGCATTCGTCGTCTAGGAAGTGAAGACGAGTATGGTTTTCATCCTTACCGTTTTGAGAAACATTCATTAAGTTTGTATTATTATGAAAAGCTAGAGGAGGAACAGGAATATGCGGACGAAGAAAAATTTGGAAAAATTAGCTATTTAGAATTTCTTAATCGAATCGACAATGGAAGTATTAAACCTAATGAACTAGGAATTAAACTGTAAATGAGAAATTAAGTATTCTTAATCAAAAATTCAATTGTTAATTTTTTTCAGACTCAAAATGCTTCAAGTTTATGATCTCGTCCTTGATCGTGGAATTTTCGAGAAAATTAATTACTCAATTCCAACTGATGACTTTCTAGATGTATTTAATGAGTTTCACAAGGAATTTACACCTGATGCTTACAACGTGATGTATCTTTTTTCAAATCTCTACCAAGAGTATATATCCGAGATCATAACTCCTTGGGGACTGTGCCATACATATAATATGGCATTTAGTCATGACATGTTGAACTTTAACTCAACATCAAATGATTTTCATTACCATCATGCTTTTAGAAGAGAAGATCGTGATTATCGCGATAGATACGAAGCTAATTTAAGTTTTCCGAAAAAACTATCATCATCAAGTCATGGCTTATGGGTTGGATTTAACTTTTTACCATCAACTTTTATTGATGAATATATTCAGAATGATTTTGATGGTTATGTGGTTTTATTTCATGATCCTTTCGAACTTCCATCATTTAATTCGAAAATCTTAAACTTCAATATTAATTTGCGCACAAATATTTTCATTAATCCGCAACTGAACTCTATTGATGAATCACTTAATGAATATGAGCCTGTAGAGTAAGTTTAGTGTAATTTTTGAATTCAAATGTTTTATTGGTGTTAATGGTTAAGTTTCAAAAGCAGGCGCGGAGCCAGGATGCAGGAGGGTCTTGTCCCCCCTTAAACGTTTTGAACAACAGCGAGAGCATGGCCTAAAACGCTTAAGATGGGAACAAGACCCTCCTGGCTACGCGCCTGTTCAGAAGTATTTATAGTTTAACTCATTTACTTTTATTATTTCAGTCGCAATTGCTATCTTATAAATGAAAAACTCCTCAAGTTCTTCAAAGTTTACACAAAAAACAACTGTGAGAATGAATGTATGTCTGATTTTATGATCAGTCGATGTGGCTGTGTTGCGTTCTTTACAATTCGAAACTCATCGACTCGAATTTGTTCGGCAATTGAGCGAACTTGCTTTAAGAATGCTGAAAAAGACTTTAATGAACATAAAAAGTCTTGTGAATGTTTTGAACCTTGTGAGCTCTTGAAGTATAACTATGAGATACATACGTACGGACGAGCACAGTAAGTTACAGATTTTAATTTTATAGTTATTTTACTCAATCAGCAATTAATCATTTTTCAGTGCCAATGCATATGAAACATTCTTAAATGTTGGCTTTCAGCTTCAATATAAAAGCAATGACATTAAGCAATTTGTCCGAAAAGAGCAGTTCACAGCTGTTGACTTTTTATCATTTGTTGGTGGAATTTTAGGTCTATTTGCTGGATTTTCAGCACTGTCATTTGTTGAGCTTATTTATTGGTTTATATTCCGAGTTTGTGTAAGAAAATTCACTAAAGTGGATTCAACAGTTCACCCGGTTCAGGATATTCAAGGAGACAAATCAAAACTACTTGAATTAAAACAATTCCTAGCATCTTATTTTAGTGAATCGTCGATTCATGGATTTGGTTATATTTTTGACTCATCTCGAATAACTAGGTAGGGAATAAATTTTTAAATAATAGATTATTTTATGAAATTTTAATAGGGTTCTATGGACTTTATTCATCCTAACGTCGATGACTCTGTGCCTCTATATGATTCAAAGTACACAAGACAGCGTTCCAAACAGTCGAGTGATTGCATATGATGACCATTTTAAGGAAATGGATGATGTAAATTTCATTTTTGAAGAAAATATCATTTTAATTTTATTCAAAATTTTAGATTCCATTTCCTGCATTAACAATTGTTCCACTTTTTACTTTTCCTCCTGATTTTGGATGGAAATTGTTTTCTCTCAATGTAAAGAAATTGATGAATAATGACACAACTAGAGAAGAGTTTAAGAGGTAAAATTAGAAGTAAAATCAATCAAATTTAATTCCAATAAATTAATTCTATTTATTACTTTTAAGGAACATAACAAGATGGTTTTTATGCGGAGACACATTTTCTAATTATTACAGTGCAGTTGCATTCAGTATTGTTCCTTACATTATTCCTGTTATTGAACAGGAATCACAAGTTGACTGGTTTCGAGAGCAGTTCTCAACATTTAATCAATATCAACTAGAATTTTCTGAAATTCGAACTTTAAGAGGCATGGGATTTACATTTAACATGATTGATGCTGAGGATCTGCTTAATTTAGATCGGTGAAATTTTTTTATCATTTTGAATTCGATAAATTAATAATTTCACATTTTGTTTTTAGAATCAGCTCAAAATTTTATTACAGTAGAAATGTGACAACAAAGTCAAAAAACTTGAAAAACATTTCTAAAGCAGTTAAATATCCATTGACATTTGGCACATCAGATAAGGCAGAATTGTCATTAAAACTCGAGCAACCAACTGGTCATTTATGGAATTGTCTAATGCAATCTTATGTTGTTCATAAACCTGATGAATTACCAACTTTTATGACAAGAAAAGAGTTCATTCCTTATGATTTTGGATCGACAGTTGATATTATAGTTAGTCCAGAGATTATTAGAACAGATGAATATCTTAGGAAGTTAAAACCTTCAGAACGAGACTGCTATTTTGAGCATGAAAGGCCGTTGAAATACTTTAAAAAATATACAAAAAAGAACTGCGAAATCGAATGTCAAACAAATATTACAAAAGAAATTTGTGGATGTGTCGATATAGAACATCCATTTGAACATCACAACGAACTGTGTCTGAATATTTCAAGAATGCTTGAAAGCTGTGTTGGGACTCTTTATAAATATTTATACACATCTTTTAATTACTCACCTGAACAAAATTGCTCATGCCTGCCACTTTGCAACACAATAAGCTACAATATGAAATATTATACAAAACGTGAGTCGAAAGGAAATCAGACGATAATAAACATGAGGATGAGCATGGACGACATCATTTTGTACCGAAGATATCAGCAATTTACATCTTCAGATGTTGTTTCTTATGTCGGCGGACTTTTGGGACTTTTTGCTGGCATTTCAATGCTTTCGATTGTTGAATTTCTTTACTTTTTCACAATTCGATTGGCAGTCAATTTCTGGAGGATTTTTAAGAAACAGTAATTTAGGACTTTTACTTATTTGTGTTGATTTCTTGATTAATTCGTATTGTCACTTCAAAACATGGCTTGATAACTTTAAAGTCTTGGGGTTTAACACAGTTTGACATGTAAATATAAAATCGCGTGTCTTTTGCTTTGCATGTTCATTAGCATGTTTGCATTTAATCAAGGTCATAGTTTATATGGTGCAATTTAAAATGGTTTTAATTTGCATATAACAAGAATCAATTTAAAACATAATAAATTAAATTTGTGAGTCACAATATCGGCCGAGTTTTTTTTTGACAGGTTGTTGCCTTTGACAGGCAATAAATAATGCTTTTCTCAGGCAAAGCCTGTTAACAGTCAAGGAACAGGTGATTCCCTGTGACAAATTGCAACTCTGGTATTACTACTGTAAGCAGCTTTTGTCGTAAAAGTCAAATTATTAATAATTTTTTTTAAAAAATTCCTTTGCGCACGTGGGGCCATTACCGCGTTCAGATATCGTCTAAAGACAGCTCTATCCTTCAAGATTTTAAGGACCCTAGCGTGTTTATCAGCACATCCAATCCAAGTATTCTTTGGTCTTCCTCTAGATATCTTGCCTGCTGTAAAGTTTGCATCAGTCACTCTAAGTACTTAGAGCAAATCATTATATTTTTTTACAAATCTCACAGCTTTTGTTGTTGCTGTTGTTAATATTATGAAGTATTTAAGGACAGAACAGTTAAACTCTCATTAGCTGTGAAACGCCCTAGCTCAACTCTGGATCACAATTGATCTGAATAGGTAAAGGTTTTTTTTTTTAAAAACAGAACACACTTAAAATGATGTGCGATTTATTTCATCCTTATCACAAAACTCTCTTGATTCTCACACAATCAGCCTTAAATGAAATGACGACATTTAAAATTTATTTTGCTACTGAGTCTCAATTTGAAATTTTCAATATTTTTACTCTCAGTTTGAGCATAAAGCTTTAATTTGTTATTCATACTCAATATGCAGTTCACATTCGCAAGCTGATAGGATTAGAAATCTTAATAATATTTTCTATTAATTATCGCTGTAGTGCGTCGCTTGTCATTGAACTTGTTTACATTTTTAATCATTCTTTACTGTAAACTAGCTCTTAATTTAATGTTTGCTGCTCACAATGAGATCAAATTGTGGATTTTTGTTGATTTTATTACTCACATTAATAACTCCAAATTCAGCATACAAATGCAGGTTTGTTGATGAAATCCACTACAAGTGTAAAGTATATTCAGATAGATTCAGGAACCAGGAACGACATTTACAAAATAAAGGCACTGATGATGTTAGACAGGTCTGGATTGATGGAAATTTAAACATAATTTCACATTTGACTGAGTCAATTCTTCCAGTCTGTCAAAGGTTCCAAAACTTTCAGGAACTTCACATCATTGACGGAATCAAATCAGTTGACAAAAATTTCATCAAAAATTGCAGAAATTTGAAGCATTTTTGGATCCAAGGAACTGAAATTGTAGAAATTCCAGAAAACTTTTTCAAAGAAAATTCAAAATTAGTCAAATTGGAACTTCAAGTAAATAAATTGATGGCATTGCCTGAAAATATTTTCAAAAATCAAGCTGAACTTCAGGAACTAAATTTGTATGACAATCAAATTAATTTTTTCCCTCCAAAACTTTTCCATCCACTCAAAAAGCTTCGATTCTTGTGGCTGAATAAAAATCAAATTCAAACTTTAAAGCCAGTCTGGTTTGAGAATTTGCACAGTTTAGAGCGGTTAGCACTTAATGACAATGACATTTCGGATCTTCCAAGGAACATGTTCAACTCATTAGAAAATTTAGAATTTCTATGGCTTGATGGCAATCGACTGACGACAATCCACTCAGATTCATTTGGAATTCATCAAAAATTTAACGAAATTGACCTGAAAAGCAATAAAATTTACGGAATTGATGAGAAATTTATCTGGCACACAACAGTTAAGAAGATATTGATGGGATATGGAACTGTATGTTGTCAAGAGGAAGTAACTGAAAGGAATCAAATGAATGAGACGTTGAGTGAATGTTTTAGGAATTATAAGCCACGATTAGGTTGAAGGACTGTTATGAACGATTGAAGCTAGATTAACAACGTTGGACATATTTTGTAATGTTAGATAATAATTTATAGGTTATGAATAAAATTATAAATAACAATTGAATATGAAATGCAGACCCTGCAACAATCCATGACTTCACATGAACAAGACACATTTTGATATACACATAAAATAAATAAGAACTAGATTTTGATATTCACTAAGTCAGTTGGTTCTTATCTTTCATAACTTTTTAATATTTTATTTGGAAAACTTTCTATTTTGCTAAGCACGTTCTGAGTAAGTTGATTTAAATTCCAATCGTCGATGCTTCTTCGTTTTCTGAGATAATCGTCTGGATTTATCTGGAATTACAGAATTTTTTTTTATCTAGTGTCATTATTTTTGGATATGCGCAGGCATTTCTTAGAGCTCTGGAGTAAACCAGCTTCTTAATAATACAAAATTTGGCACCAAAACTCACCGTATGATTATAAATCGATCGAACTGTACAAAACACAATGTACCATACAAAATACAACAAGAACCACAGTGGAAGATGCCATACCCATCTTCCCATATAGTAATAACTCCATCTTGTATCACGTGCGTCTAATTTTCTTGACACAATTGAAGTGTCACTGACTATTTCGTTACTAACTTCATTTAAATCTGATTTAATCTCATTATTTGTTGATGTAATGTTTGACTCTATACTTTTGGCACCAGCAGAATTAAAAACTAAAATTATTAATGCAACAAGTTTAACTTTCCACCTCATGGCTTCTGCTTGTACTTAACAATACTAAATTATCTTTGAGAATATGGGAATTTTTCTCACTTACGCATTCAACTGTTCAGCATTCCCTCCACGATTATTGAAATTAGCCCGAGAAATACAGTTTTTGTAATGAGATTTCTGGTGGGAACCTGCTTCATATGATTCAATTTTTCAAATTATTTGGGTTTGCTTGAGTCTGGGTTGCGATACAGGAACGTTTGCACAGGTGAAAACTGTATAACTCCTTGATAATTTGTGAGGTTTTATTAGAATTTGGACTACGCTTATGGATCGACATTACAACGTTATTGTCATGGTAAAGGCTCTAAATAGATGATTATTTATTGTTAACAAAACCTCAAGATTTATCTATGACATGATCAGAATAATGCAATATTTGGTTTCTTCAGGCTGCCTCCCAACTTCCTCAATTCATCAAGTGCTACCCAGAACATCACTTACTCTTCATCGATTAACATTTTCTCATTTTATTTTATTTTATTTTTAGAGTAACTGACCCATAAGAAAAGAATCATTTCATATTGACAGAAAAAGTTTGTTTGCTCATTAAATTAGAGCGTCTTTGGGTCTCGATAGAACATGAAAGTTGTTTAAAGACTGAATTGAATGTGGGACAGAAGTTTACTTCAATTCTTCCAATGTGATACATGTTTAATTATCCAATTTTTTCTTTCAATGAATTGAAAACAACTTTACGTTTATCTACGTGTATATCGACTGATTTTTATTTTTCTTTTCTTTTTCCTTGATCACTATGATCTATCATTTTACATCTTCCTTCTCTTATGAATTCCCAAACCTTTGCACTGGCTTTGGGATTCTTGACGAACGTCTGGGAGGTTGTTGGTTCCTATTATTTTCATCTGATGTTGATTGTTGTTGAACATCAGTTGAAGATGTAATTGTGTTTGTGGTTGTGTTTGAATTTCGAGTAGGATTATGCAATGAGTTATCCATGAAAAAATTATCTAAATTGACTCTATATTGCTGAACTTCACTCCTAACCTCATCATTATTATTCATATTAGACACTGTTGATTTATCTAACCGAATGAATTTTGAATTTCGCCTGATAACACTATTATTTTCTAAGCGTATTTCATATGATCTAGGTTGTTGACATTTGTTGATGACCACACCTCTTAACCAATTCTTATTAGGCATTTGAACCCATACTTTTTGGTTTATTTTAAACTCAGTTCTCGCATAGGCACCACGGTTATAATAGACTTTGGATTTATGTTGCTTACTCTCAAATCTTTCCTTCAACTGAATATTAATTTTAGGATCAAGCAAGCTATCTTTCATGACAATTTTAGTTCTCATCCTTCTATTATTTAAAAGTTGACTAGGAGATAAATCTATGTCGGTCAACGGAATATTATTGTAATTGTAAATAGCTATCAATACCTGATTAAAATTTACGCATTTTTTCATCATTTTCTTAACTATTCCCACAGCCTTTTCTGCGAGGCCATTCGATTGCGGGTAGCGAGGACTAGATGTAATTATATTTATATCCCATTCTTTAGCAAATGTATTGCATTCAAATGAATTAAATGGCATATTATCAGCAATAATAGTTTTAGGAAATCCATGCTCGGTAAAAACCTCAATTAATTTTGAAATTACATTACTTGAATTCTTTGAACTTAAATATTTACATGATATCCATTTCGAGAAATAATCGATAACCACTAAATAATTTTTGCCACTAAATTCTAATATATCGCAAGCAATTTTCTCAAAGGACCTTAGAGGGATTTCATGTTGGATTATTGGTTCCTTTCGATTTGAATTCTGAAATGTGTTACACGGAACGCAATTATTAATAATTTTCTCTATACAATTATTTAGAGCAGGCCAAAAGACTGACTCTTTAGCAAAACGCAGAGTCTTATTAATACCCAAATGACCCTCATGAAGATCTCGAAGAACTGTCTCTCTGAGTGTCTTGGGAATGATTATTCTGTCCTGATAATAAACTAAACCATCTGATACATATATATCATTACGCAAATTAAAGTAAAACTTAACTTCATCTGGAACTTTTGACTTATCTGAGGGCCAACCATCTGAAAAATACTTTTTTAACAAAGAGCACTCGATGTCGCTATCTGTTTCTGTTTGATAAACTTTCAGTTTATCATCACTAATATTTACAGAATGAATCATTTCCTTCATAAACTTTTCTTCGAAATCTTTTACAGTCTTCCCCGAAATGTATCGCGAGAGATAATCTGCTAGAACTATGCTTTTTCCTGGTTTGTACTTTAATTGTAAGTTATATTTATGCAATTTCAATCTAAGACGCTGTAGGCGCTTGGATCCTATTTTGCTCAAGTCTTTATTCATAATGCTTTCTAACGGACGATGGTCAGAAATGACTGTTACTTTTCTGCCATAAATGTAATTGTGAAATTTATTGCAAGCGAAGAAAACTGCCAAGAACTCTTTTTCAATCTGACCATAATCTTTCTCTGTATCGGAGAGACATCGAGAAGCAAAGCTAATTATTTTATCTCCTTGCTTAAGGCATGCTCCTAAACCATACGATGATGCGTCAGTTTCAATAGTTATGGGCATATTTTCATCAAATGTTGTGCAAATAGTGGCATTCTTTATTGCCTCTTTAATTTTCTCAAATTCTGCTTGATGATTTTCAAGCCATAAAAACTCACTATCCTTTTTTAACAAGTTACGTATGTTTACTGTTAAAGAAGGTAGATTGGGAACAAAATCCCTAACATAATTTACAACTCCCAAAAATTTTTGTACATCTTCTAAATTTTGGGGAGGTGTTATATTATTAATAGCTGAAACTCTTTCAGGATCAATTTGGACCGAATTTTTTGAGAATATATGACCGAAAAATTTAACCGAACTTTGCGTAAACTGCAATTTCTTCTCGGTAAATTTTACACCTTTTTCTTGTGCTCTAATCATTAAATCTCTCAAATTCTCATCATGTTCTTTCAAGGTTTTGCCTGTTATGACGATATCGTCAATATAAAACTTGACACCATTCAAGTCACCAAAATTATCAGACATGTATTTTTGAAAAACCTCTGAGGCGATATTAATTCCAAAAGGCATTCTGTTGAATTGCCATAGGCCGAAAGGAGAACTAAAAGTGCATAACTTTTTGGAATCGTCATCCAATTCGATATGCCAGAAACCATCTTTGAGGTCTAAAACTGTAAAATATTCGGAATCCTTAAGATCTTGTTTGAGTTCTTCCAGAGATGGTATAGAATAGTGAAATTTATTTAATGATTGATTTAAATATTTAGGATCAATACATATTCTGATTTTGTCTCCTTTTTCAACCACTACTATACTGTTAATCCACTCGCGCTGTTCATTAACACGAGAAATAATTCCTAACTTTTCCATTTCAAAAAGCTTATTTTGAAGTTTATTTTTCAATTTAAATGGAATTCTACGATTTTGATTAGCGACAGGAATTGAATTTTCCTTTAAAGTAAGCTTCAGAGTTTTTTCAAATTTACCTAAACCTGAGAACGCATTTCCATAATAATTAATAAACTTATTTCTTTCCTTTTCTGAGCATAGAAATTTATTTATTTCAACTGTATCTATGCGAGAAATAAGGTTTAATTTTATACACGACTCGAGACCTAACAGCGGCTCGGTATTTTTATTAATAACAATAAATTCTTCCAAATACAGATTATTATTAATTTTTAACGGAAGAACTGTTTTTCCTAAAGGCACATTGATTTCTCCAAAATAACCCTGCAATTTAACATTACTCTTTTCCAACTTGATGTTTGTTCCTATGCTTTTAAATTGCTTAATGCTTATAGTGTTTACTTGGGAACCAGTGTCTAATTTGAAAACAATGAATTTATCGTTTATCTTTAACTTTTTATGCCAAACATTCTTATTATTTACATACCTATCTAATGAATCACAACTAACAACTGATTCGAGCTCTTTTTCATTTTCCTCAATTGCACTCACCTCTTTTTTCTTCTTCTTCGTCATACAAACGTTTGCAAAGTGTCCCTTAATGCCGCAATTGAAGCATGTGAAGTTTCGAGCGGGACATTTGCTCTTTTCGTGGGTACCTTTTCCACAATAACTGCATGTCGATTGTTGTTGGTGGTGCTTATTGACTTTGTGGATTTGTTGAACTTTCTCTGATACGATTTTATTAAATTCTTTTTGATGATGGTAAAATATTTTGATTTTGTTTATCACAGCATTCAATGATTTATCTTCTCCCAAAATGATTTTTTCTTGTAAATTGCTGTCTTTTAATCCAAAAACGATTTGATCACGAACTGCCTCATTCTTAAAATTTTGAAAATCACAATTTTCAGCTAACTTGAGTGTAGCATCGATGAATGAGTCGATTGGTTCACCTTCTTGCTGTACTCGATTACGAAATTTCATCCTTTCAATCATAAAATTTGAAGCAGGCAAAAAATATCTTTCGATTGCCTCCAGGACTTTCTTGAAGACCTTCTCATCAGCATCTGTTATTTGAAGATTTTTAATCAGCTCTACTGATTTGAATCCCATTAATAGAGTGAAGAAATGTAATTTTATATTGTCAGGTTGAGTTTCCATTTCGTTGATCACCAAATACGAATTAAATTCTGTAGAGAAGCGCTTCCATTCACATCCTAGTGATGAAGCCTCAAAATTGAATTTTTCTATTGATATTAACGACTGCGCCATGTTTAATTATCCAATTTTTTCTTTCAATGAATTGAAAACAACTTTACGTTTATCTACGTGTATATCGACTGATTTTTATTTTTCTTTTCTTTTTCCTTGATCACTATGATCTATCATTTTACAATACATTTTTACTTTGCTTGGAATTTGATTGAAGTTGATTTTAATGGAAGTGACAAGTCAGTTTTTGCAAAAGGATTAAAAAATGTTCTAGAATCTAGGTCAGTGGTGTCCAAACTTTTTTGAGTCACGGCACACATTAGGGTAAGCCATTACCAAAGTCGCGTCATTTACAAAAAAATTCTAAGGCACACCAGTGTGCCGTGGCACACAGTTTGGACAAAACTGATCTAGGTCATAGTTTAAGAAGCACTGATTTTATAATAATAAGTATTCAAAAATAATAAGTATTCGCAAAGCTATTAGGATCAATTTCACACAGTCCAGGTGAGTCACTTTCCCAATCACAAGTGTTTAGACATCCAGCACAAGTTTCACCTTTCTTATACAATGGAAGTGTCAAAAATGGCGCTTTATCAAAATTACAAGTAATTTGAGTGAATCTGTTAGTTCCAAATCTATCCAACTTCTCATATTGACTTCCAGTACATCCAACTCTTTGCGTCTGATCATGGCACATTGTAAGGAAGTGTCCAATTTCACGGCCTGGAACAGTTTGTACAAAATCAGCAATACCAACTGGAGCTACAATAATTTCATTGTACCAAGCGAAAACTGCATTTGTTATTGTTGATGTTAAAGGCGGTCTTAGTGGAGCGTACGTACTTTCATAGTAGATATTTTGACCAGCAAACATGGGAATGTTGAAGAATGATGTGTTGTACCCTGAAAATATCTTATTAATAGAACCGTAAATTTATTGCGGTCAATTAACTATAGTTACAGGTATTTTTGCATGGATCATGAGAAGCACATGTTTTAACTTGCAAGGATGACATGAATTCCTGTTCAACATCCCATTGTAATTTATTCATTTGACTTGCCATTGGGAAATTATCACCCGGTGCCTGTAATATTAATGCGTTTCGAATAAAATATTAATCAATGTCTGAATATACTAATGTTGCCATAGATGCTCCAGGAAATCGTTAAACTATTAAATTATTGTAGAACTTACATTAATGGAAGCTCCGAGAGCAAGATTAGATCTATAGCTATTGATCGTGTCTACCATGAGTTGTTTTTGAGCAGCAGTAAATGTAAATAGCTTTGTTCCTACTGGACATGATGTGCTTAATTGCTAAATTAATGCATTAGTAAGTTTAATTTTTTGGAATTATTTGTAATGTTCTAAGTTGAAATTTGTAAGCAACATTCTGGACCTCCTGTATCTATACATACCCCTGTATTATTGCAAGCTGTGTTCCTTGCTGTTCCACATAAATTTACATCACAATAGTTTTTCACCATATTAGCCATAAATATTCCGTTAATCACAAAGATTAAAACTATTAATATTAATGTTAATTCAACCATATTTCTCTGGATAATAAGTCACACAAACTAAATTGCTTAAAAGTAAATAAATAAAATTTATAAACTTTAAAAACAAATTTATTTAAAATCGTGACTACAAAGTCCTTCAGATTGCCATAAAACACTATAGTTTCTCGTTTTCGACTTATTAATTGAGTTAATATTTAATTTAATTTACTAAAAATGTGAGTGAAAAGGAATTGCCAGATTGTCGGGTGAGAACTTTTCAGTTGATGTTTATGAAAAGTGAGATTTTTCGTCGACAAACTTTTGACTAGGTAATTTTGATGACAAAACAAATAAAATACAGTAATTTTTCAATCATCGCATCAATTCAGTTGAAGGTGTCAATCAATCAGCAACAAGTAACCACCTTAAAAATAATTAAATCAAAAATCGCACAAAGTTAACATCGATTCATCAACATAACATTCAAAGTCAAAAAGAACATCTTAAAAATGGCAACAAATCAAGTTCATCGTAACCAAAAGCCACAAATAAAATTCGTGGTATATGGACTTATTGAAATAGAACCTGATACATTAAAAGCAGCCTTTAATGGCCAAAACTTATATCCAACAAGGATTGTCAAAATGGCAATGAAAAGAAGAACCAACGATGAACTACAAAACTACCTTCTTTACTTCGACTGCGAAAATGTCGAACAAGATCAAAATAGCTTCCTGAGAGTCCTCCAAGAAGTTAAATCAGTCGACTCCTTTAAAGTCAGCTGGGCTAAATATGAAAACAAGCGAAATGGACCCCCGCAATGTATGAACTGCCTGAAATTTGGTCATGTACGTCATCAGTGTACCAACAGTGTTGTATGCTTTAGATGCTCAGAACAACACGATTCAGAAGCTTGCAGACATTTCTTTCCAAACTCCAAAATGGTTCCGAAAGACAAACTTAAATGTTATTACTGTCAAGGAAGTCATACAGCTCTGTCAATTGAATGTGAAATAAGAAAGCAGTTGATTGATGAATGGAATTTGGCTAATGGAGCAGATGAAGAGGTTCAACAAGAAGCAGATTCTTGTAGCAGTGATGACAACAGCTTAGAAGGAATCCAGGATAATAATAATGTAGAAGATCAAGAAAATGAGCCATCTAACGAATATAACAGCTACAGCATCAACATTTCACCAGAACTTCAAGAGATGATCATGTTGAAGAGAACCTTACGTCGCAGATGGCAACGAACACGTGACAGTCAATTGAAATCAGAATTAAATAGATTGCAAAAGGAGATCAAAGAGGAGCTAATGAAGTTAAGGCAACAAATGTAAAAGATCCATTGTTTTAATAAAATAAAGAATTTTTAAGAAATTAAACCTTTTATTTTACAATGACCTAAAAAAACACTTGACTTAATTCTAAAGCTAACCCACCACCCAGTCTACTAAATTACCATGTCTGTAATTTAATGTCTTCACAATTTTCTCCCAAAACCAAGGACATAATCAATAAATTTATCCCACGAAGCCTTAAATTGATTTGTTGCATTAATTTTCTCTTTTTGTGTCATGGCACTATACTTTAAAGAGTTCCATGCAAGTTGCTTAAGTACCTGAAGACCAGAGTCAGCTGGAGTAAAAGCCATGAAAGCATAATAAAAATCATAGCTTAATCCTTTAGCATTCCAGAACCCTGGATCATCATTTGCAATCTAGAAAATATTAAATTCAAATCAATAAATCTAATAAAGTCGTAGCTTCAAACTTACAACAATAGGAACATTTTCAGAGATGTAAAAGGCAGCAGGATGATTTCGTAAGTCTTGAACTAAATGAAGCACTTGATTTGATATTGGACTGATTTCAATGGCAATTTCCTTTTTCTTAAATGCTTCCCACAACACTGGATGCTTGTAAAGTGAATATCCATGTCCAATTCTTTTTGTATTCATTAAAAGTGCATCTATTAAGTTGACGTCCGCATCAGTGTTGAAAAAGTTTGTTTCTTAAATGTTGAAAAATTATTTTCAAAAGGCATGGATGGGAAAAGTTTGAAAAAGAACGGAATTAATAGGGTTATGAGCTATACAAACCTCCAGCATGAAAGAAGAAACGACCATTGTCTGATATATTTTTTAATTTTTCTACATAAGATGCAAGTGGCCGACCTAAGTCCTCTTGACCAACTAAATCAAATCCAACAACTAAATCTGGATACTTTTTACGCAAGTCTAAAAATCTTTCAACTTTTTCATCAAATGCATGTTCATCATAGTCTCTCAGAATAGCTATTATGACTTTAACACCTATGAACAGTGGATGGTCTTGCTTGAAGTCATCGACTAGTTTTAATATCACTTCAGCCATGTCTTGGCTGTTTAAATGCTTGCCATTCTGGTCAATTACCTGAAGAAATAATTATTTTATTTTCAATGCATAGACACTAGAGATTAAGCTTAATAATCGATAAATATCTTAGGGCTCTGACATTAGGCTTCCAATGCTGATAGAATAAAGGAACTAAAGATAATTTATATTCTTACTTACCCCACCCATTTCAGTTCTAATTTCCAAGTACATCACATTATCTTCATACAATTCTTGAAGCAATTGTTGATGATAAGCTATATAGGTTGGCAAATAGTCAAAAATTCCATCAATAACGCTAAACATTATTTCGAATTTTTCCCAAACTGTGTTGACTGATGGAAAAGAAAGAAGAATTCAGAAAAATTTAATTAATTTTTTGATAATTTTTCATTTCTTTCAGGGGGAAAACAACTTTGATAGGACATTTCCTATCAAAATAATTTCCCATCATGCTGTTGTCCCCTTGAATTTTTTTTGTCTTACTGTCAGGATAATCCAATTCAGGTTGATGTGTGTAAAGATTAATTAAACTTTCCAGTGACTCATCAAAAGCAGTTTTGTTTGTTGCTCTTGCGCGTAATTTATTAACCGGCACAGCTTCATTAGCACAGAGCTCTGATGGACTGTAAAGAATTTAATGTCGTTAAAAACGAAAAATTTAAATTAATTGAACTTTCGTACACAGCCACAAACATATGAAATCCATCCTTATGATTACAAATCAAGACATCATTACGATATGTTAAATTCTTGATGACCCATTCACTTGACACACCAGCTGTGCTATGGAGATGAAGAAGACCACCTTTTGGAAGCTTCTGAATGATTTTAAAAATTGGATCCTGTTCTATTAGCGGTTTGGCATGAAAAAAGTGCATTGATGGTGCATAACTTGCTGAATCTTGAATTCCTTTATGAATGGCTTTTTGCTTCATATTTAGGAGGAACTTATCAGCTTCTAATTCTCTTGGTGAGAGATAAATGTTTCCACCTGTTCTTATGCTCTCTTCAGCTTTGATGATGTTGTTCCTAGCTTCTTCATAATCTTGTTTAAGGCACAAATAAAAAAAATGTTAAAAATGAGAATTTTGAACTTCCAATCATTGTTATCTGTTCGTCCATCCAGATATTCAGAGTTGGAAGCGTGCTGAAAAGCGTCCACAGGCAAAACCTGCAGACGGCATTGCCGGCAGACGCTTTTTGACTGCAGCCGGTAGTTTTTTTTTTGCCGGCAACCGGCAAAAACGGCTACCGACATTGCCGGTCGCCGGCAAAAACGGCGACTGGTAAGACGCTGAGCGTCCAAAAAATGAAAATTTTAGAAAATTTTCTATTAACAATGAAAAATGTTGGAAATGTTGATTTAAAATAATAAAAGTAGTTAAATATGATTAAAACTTGTAAAATTTTTTTTGAAAAATGGTAAAAAACGAAAATCATAACAAACGATAAAATAATTGCTGCAGATTCTAAATTTTTCTTTTTATTGCTATGTTTAAACTATTTTTCTTTTTAAATGTAAGTTTTTTTTGTTAAGTCGAAATTTTTTTTATTTGTTTTTTAAATTTCTTTCTGTTTTGTTTTTAAGTACGTTTAAGTTGATTTGTTTGTTTTTTTTTGTGTTTTTTTTTGTTTTTTTTTTTTGTTTTTTTTTTGTTTTTTTTTGTTTTTTTTTTCTTTAAACTTCTATTTCGTCTTTTTTTCTAAGTGTGTCTAAGTCTAATTTTTTCATTCTCTATTTCCGTTTTGTTGATTTTTTGTTTATGCTTTGACAGCCTAAGTCTAGGTTGTCTTGGTTTTTAAGCTTCTATTTCACGTTTCCTTTTGTAATTTTAGAAAAATTTGATTTTTTGTAACAAGTCTAAGTTGTACTTGCACACCATTATTGCGTTGAGCGTGTTGTCTGCTAATAACGTCCTCAAGTGGTTAAGGACAAGAGCGAAACCACTGAAGTCTCTCTCAACCTTGACCTGTGAAAAAGCAGCCCCGTAGACAACCTGAGACACCTTGTAGATTTCTGGTTCTTCATCACGTTTGTTGTACCAGTACTTTTGCGGGTTTAACTTAGCACCTGATGATATTCTTATCTCTGCTAGAAACCTGTTGATCTGTTGGCGAATGGTCAACCGCTGGTTTATGTTTTGCCATGATTGATCTTGTCCTCGTCGACCACCTCCTAGTCGTTGATCTAATGCCTCATAAATGACGTTTTGTTGATCTCGATTTTGATCCTCTAGTTGCTCAACTTGTCCTCTGTTGATAAGTACCTGGTGAATTTTTTCGATATGCACCATTCCTCTTTCCAGTAGTTCTGGGCCAAAGAAATCTTCTTGATTATTTGACCAGTTGATACGAGGATCTAAAAGAAGTGCTGCGATGAAGGCGTCACATTCAAAGAACCTTCTCTTACGTCGTTCCAATGCCTCGAGTAGTCTGTCTTTAATTTCTTCGTCACCAAGTGGAACACCAGAGATTTCGAGCTCCATCTTCACCCAGCTGATGTAAAATTCACTCATTGTGATGTCTGCTCTCTGGAACTCCTTCATCGCAAAGTGCACTGGAGTGAACACTTGGATGAATTCATCGATGAATTCCCAGGCGTCTTCATTGAGAGCAAGTATTTCGTGTGTAAACGCAACTTCCTGGAGCTGATTTCTGAATTCATTGACGTCGCTAATCATCCCATACAAACTGTCCCATCTTGTTTCGACGTCCAAGCGCAGGCTTCTGATTCTTGCAGCATGAAGAACTTGAGAGAACTCAAGTCTCTTTGATGCCTTCACAAGAGCTCGTATTTCTGCTATGACCATCCTAAAATCGATGATGACGTCTGTTACTGCGAGTTGACATGTGTGCGCACCACAAACCATTTTTGAACACAGAGCTCCTTCGTCTACCATGACTTCTGTAACTAATGGCTCTGGATCTTCCTGTTCCTGTTCATCATGCAGATGTTGTTGTTGTTCATCCCACTCACGATCGAGTTCTGCCTCTACACGAAGCATATGTTCTACATCTATTTCTTCTGCTCGCTCTGCTGCTTGTGCTTCGTCGATGTTTATTTCTTCTTCATGCTCAAGGTTTGCTATTGCTCGGCATATTCTGATAGCATCTTGCGCCTGTATTGCCAAATCAGCTGCTCTGAGCATATTAGCTCCTTGGTCGGTGCATGTTGAGTATATGTCGTTGATCGTCAAACCAACTTTCCTGAGTAGTAGCTCTACTTGGTTAAAGAGGTTCGCTCCTGTTTGTCGTTGATGTTGAGTGATGACTCCTATGGTACGCTCAACTACTTTGTCTCCCTTTGCGTAGCGCAGACTCACTGCAAAGACGTGTCTTCCATGTCTTGATGCAGAGTCGAACATTATTGATACTAACTTGCCTTTAGTCTCATTTGCAATCTCTTTGTAGATTCCTTTTAATGGTTCTTGGATGTCCTCTATGTCATTCTCTGTGTCTTCTCCTGCTGCTTGAAGAATGTATTCTCGGAGCTTCTTTCGATTGAAGACCTTATTGTAAGCATCGAACTCTCTTTGAACAATTTCAACTTTTCTTAGTCTTTCTGCGCAGTTCAAAGATATGTTTGAGCTTAAGAAGAATTCGATCAGTTCTCTGATTGTTTTGTTAATGCTGACTGTTTTAAGTTTCTTAGGTAGTGGTTCTTCTTCGTCTACTTCTCTCGGACGTTTGCTTCGATTTCTTGGCTCTAATCCTAATGTTCGTGCGATGATTTTGTGCTTCGATGTCAGGTGGTCCTTTAGGTGACTAATGTTTCCCTTGATTTTTCCATTGCAACGATTACACTGACTTGATTTTGTTGACGGATCATAGTCCCCAAAGTACCCCTTAACTCTCTCGTTAAGTTCTGCGAGATTTATTGCTCGGTTAGCTACGTCATCTTCATTAGGTCGCTCATTTTCTGGAATCTCTTCCCCTCCTGATTCCTCGTGGTCTTCTTCATTATCTCTCTCGACTTGTAGATGTCCTGATGTTGATGGAGCGGATGTTCGAGTTGGAACAACTCCCCCAACTTGTGGTCTTCCTGATGTTGATGGAACAGATGTTCTAGTTGGAACAACTCCCACAACTTGTGGTCTTCCTGATGTTGATGGAACAGATGTTCTAGTTGGAACAACTCCCACAACTTGTGGTCTTCCTGATGTTGATGGAGCAGATGTTCTAGTTGGAACAACTCCCGCAACTTGTGTACGTAGAGCGGAAGTTCTAGTTGGAACAACTTCCCCAATTTGTTTTCTTCCTGATGTTGATGGAGCAGATGTCCTAGTTGGAACAACTCCCCCAACTTGTGTACGTGGAGAGGTTTGTCTGATTTGACTACCTTCCCCAATTTGTTTTCTTCCTGATGTCGATGGAGCTGATGTTCTAGTTGGAACAACTCCCACAACTTGTGTACGTAGAGCAGATGTTCTAGTTGGAACAACTCCCCCAACTTGTGTACGTAGAGCGGAAGTTCTAGTTGGAACAACTCCCCCAATTTGTTTTCTTCCTGATGTTGATAGAGCAGATGTCCTAGTTGGAACAACTCCCCCAACTTGTGTACGTGGAGCGGAAGTTCTAGTTGGAACTTCTCCCCCAACTTGTTGCCGTGGAGAGGTTTGTCTGATTTGACTACCTTCCCCAATTTGTTTTCTTACTGATGTTGATGGAGCGGATGTTCTAGTTGTTCCAACTCGAGTTGGCTGTTTCGATGTACTCCCACTAGCGGTGGACTTACTAGAATTTTGGCTTGCTTCTCGATTACGAACAATACGTTGTTGTTGAAATCTTTGCTGGGTTACAGATTCCGTAGAATCTTTCACCAATTTTTGATTTTTTGTTTTCGTCATATTCTTAGGTGTTAATCCTTTGAATTCTTGAGAAATTCTCAACTTTGGTTTAGATTGCATCTTCTTTTATACTGTTCAGTCCTGAATCTCAAAATTTAGTTTCGAAACATTGAGCAGGTAATTGTTATTTTTGGAGATGTGAGATTTTTTTTTTGAGATTTGAACAAAAATAAAATGTTCGCAATTCTTCAAAATTTTTAAATTATTGGTTTGTAAGTCTATTTTTTTATTATTTTATATTTGATGGTTTCCAATATGAAAATTGGTAGAAATGTTACATTTTATTGATTCGAATAATACATTAACAAAAAAATATTTTTCAAAAATATTCTGGAACTTCAAGTTATGGATGAGATTAAGTGTTAAAAAAATAATTTTCGTGTTATATATGAAAAAATATAAACTTTAACGATGATTTTAAAAATGAATAAATATAGGAAACCTTAGTCTTAAACTCCTGAATCTCAAAATTTAGTTTAAAACATTGAGCAGGTTTTATTTTTGGTTAATGTGATGAGATTTTTTGTTTGAGATTTGAAGCTTTCCTTTATCAAAAGTATAGTTCCTATATTAATTCAGAACTTTTAAAAATATTGTTTGGAATTTTCCAAGGAGCATTATTTCAAACATTTTATTTCCTTTCTATTCATTTAAAAATCATCTTATTTTTTTTTAAAATTATCGTTGAAGTTTATTTTCTTTTGAATGATAAGTTATAAACTCCGATATAATATATAACATAACATATATAATATAACATATATATAAAAAATAACTTAAACCTATTTCGAAAATTACACAAATATATGTGAAGAAAGAAAAAGAAACAAATTAGAACTAGAAGTTTAATGAATGTTTTAAGTCAACTTAAACTTAAAAAAATAGTTTATTCGTAATTTTTTATCATTTTTCATGAATTTCAAATTTTCTTCCATTTTTAAAATAATTTTTCTATTTTCTTTTACAATTTTTAATCATTCAAAACTATTTTCATAATTTTAAATCAATGTTCCCAACATTTTTCATCGTTAATAGAAAATTTTCTAAAATTTTCATTTTTTGGACGCTCAGCGTCTTACCAGTCGCCGTTTTTGCCGGCGACCGGCAATGTCGGTAGCCGTTTTTGCCGGTTGCCGGCAAAAAAAAAACTACCGGCTGCAGTCAAAAAGCGTCCGCCGTTTAGCGTTTTTACCGTCCGAGCGCTCAGCGTCCTGCCAACTCTGGCCAGGAGGGTCTTGTCCCCCTGTTAAGCGTTTTAGGCCCTGCTCTCGCTACGCTTCAAAACGTTTAAGGGGGGGGGGGGAACAAACCCTATCGACTTTGAGCTCTAATAATAAGGATTTGAAAAGACTTAATAATCTTCTCCCCACTCTATTTTGTAGAAATTTCACAACCCCATAATACAAAATTCAAACCCGGCTCAGATTTCAGAATACAAAGTCCTTCAGCGATTCTAAACTTTGTACCCAAATCTGCTTTACCGTCACTTGAATGTTTTCATATCGACCATATGGTAAAAAAAATCTTTTGAGTCTCAGAGGAGAGCAGCATGAAAGCAACAAGATCATTAACTATAAATTGGCTGCTTTATAATTGAGATGAAGCTAAGTGGTCAGAGAACATTGTGATGTTGTCGAGTACGGAAATAAAATTTAAACTATTAAAGACAATCTTGCTAGTCCAGACAAATTCGTTCAATTGATTGCGACGTACTATGAGAACTAACGGTTCTGCAGCGGAAAAAGTTCAAAAAGAATTAAATTTCGCTCCTACAAAATCTTAGCAATTTATACAATTTTTAATATGGTTCTAATAGAATAAGAACCCTTTTGTAAGGTTTAAAAATTTAAAAAATTTAAAGGTATTTACAATAAGGTTCGAACTTTTCTTCTGGTGAGAAGACCTTCTTGATATTGTGGAACTGATCAGATGACCCTTTATAATTTTTCAATTATATTGATCAGTTCTCGGCCTATTTGTGGGTTCTCTCATGAAAGTAAACTTTTTCTAATCTAATTTGCAATTCTTCATTTTCGATAAACTTTAGGCTCCATTTTACAAATGACATCTTGTCAACACCACTTCTTTAATCTTTGCCTTCATGCTTTCATGCAATTTGTTAGTATCTGAAATCAGCAATAGATCCATGTTCTGTTTATTGATAACTTCCAGTTCATCTCTGTGACTCTTAACAAAACCTTTGTCATCATTAGGCTCAGAACTTCGATAATCATCAAATATTACTTCCTCGTCATCTACTTCATCATCAACAAACATTGCATTGTCCATAACCTCTCTTAAATCCTTAATGAATTTCCTTGATTCCTCAGTATTCCTCTTGCTTAATAAACTTTCAGCAATCTTCAGGGTCAGTGGACATTGAATGGCAACATCGATAATAAAATTTCTCACATTTGAATCTTCAAAATTGAAAGAGTTTGATGAAATGCAGGAATTGTCCTCTAATGTCGCAAAAACTAAGCTAGGAAGAGTTTGTATCAGATTTGGTCCAACAAAAATTATCCGATTATTATTAAGGTACAAAAATTGTAAGTTCCTTAAATTCTCAAATGCCTTTTCATGCACAAACTCCAACTGATTGTAAGCCAGATCAAGTTCAACTAAATTAGTCAAATTCACAAAGTCATTAGCAACCAATTCCTTGAATTTACAGTCATTAAACCAAAGTGCAATCAAATTTGGAAAAAAAATTCCAATTTTTTGAGGAACTAACTCAAGTGTGCAGACATTCCAGACACGAAACACTTCAGTGTCATTGTTGGATCTTCCAGCTTGATGAATTCCATTGATTGTTGATATTTGAGAACTTCCGTCATTTGTGGCTGTTCCATCACAGCCATAGCCACTATCCATTGTAAGAAAGATTGTTCGGAAGTTGCAGTCAATTGTAATTGCTGAAGACGATGTGATGAAAAGTAAGAATAAAGCACAAATCATTGTTATCTGGATTAATTGATATGCACTTTAAACTGAAAGGAATTAGCTAAGAAATTAATGTAAAAAGAATGTTGATTCCTTAGTATTAATATTAATTATTTCCAGATTTACCTTTTTGCTACAAAATTTTATAAATTAATTGAAGCGCGACTATGAAAATAAAAACAAAATTCCGAGCAGCACAATACATTCTTTAAGACATCATAATGTTGCTATATTTCTGTTGTTTATGCAATTAATTTATGCTTAACAGTGTGGGGCGAACCATGACTAGACTGGGACATTTCTTAGAAAATGGGTCGTTTGCATATTTTGTAACGCTTAGGGGAAAAGGTAGGAGGGGGGGGGGGGGAGGGGGAGAATTTGCAATCGTTTCTTGACAAGAACTGAAATTTGGCACCGATTACTTCAATACACTTAGCAGGCGCGTAGCCAAGAGGGTATTGTCCCCCTCAACGTTCAAAACGTTTAAGGGGGGGGGGGCAATACCCTCCGGGCTACGTACCTGACACTTAGCAATTCTGTGTTGCTCGGGATGCCTTTTGAAGTTATTAAATGTGATAAGATAAGTGAATTAGATTTCAAGACATTTTATTTAATTTAAAAACTTGATAACTGTATTGATATGATTAAGAAATGAATCAAGGCATGGAAGCTTAGGAAAAATTCAATGCTGAGGTATTATCTATAAATGATCCTTAATTAGATGTTCGTAAAAACGTTACATAACTTACTAAAGTTATAATAAGTCCAAATCCTTTAATCTTCCTCAAGATCTAAGTTAAAAAATCTATTTAAAATTCTTGTTAACATTTGAGGAAGGCCAGAATCTTGCAACTGGTTCAAGAACATTTCCGTAGGATCACAAACTCTAAAATCATGAGCAGATGATGAATATCGATGCAAATCAGAATACTTAACGACTAAGTCACAAGAATTGCATTTAAAATAAGTAATATTAAACTGTTCCTGCTCTCTAAATCGGTTCCTTTCGGCTTCTGACTTGAGTCTAAGTTGCTCGAGTCTCCGTTCAGCATTTCGTCTTTGACATTCTAAAGCCTTTTCTTGTTCTCGTTGCCTTTCTGCATCTCTTTGTCGTTCCTTTTTTAATTCTTTTTCTCTCACAATTCTTGATCTTTCTAAAGCTGACTCAATTTCTCGTCTTTTTGCATCTAATCGAGCCTTTGCAGCTGTCTTTTCAGCTCTAATTTTTGCCATTTCTTCCTGATGAATTCTTTCTTGTTGCAAACGAATCAAATTTAATTCTTTAAAAATAAATTCCTTTTCTATTTTCCACTGGTTAAATTCTTTATTGATATCATTAACGAGCGTTCCTTTATACTTTATCTCATGCTCGTTGTTTCCCATTTTATTAGAATTGTTAAACATAAGCAAAGCTTGAGCTTCACATTTATTGTGAAGTTTTTTGATCATTGATAAATTTGTGACTGTATTAAGGTCATTTTTAATTAAGTTTTTATAACTTTGTAGGCACGAGTCAACCAACCTTGACATTTGACGCTCAACAGTCATCTCATAGATTGTTTGAGTTTTCGGAAGTTTGTCTGATTGGAAAATTTCAATTAAATTTTCAAGATAGTCAAGAAATTCAGTTCCATCAAAATAATGATTATTAACTCTTTTAGTAACAAGATTTTTACGGTTCAAAAGATGTTCTATTACAACAACTAATTCATCCTTGAAGTCCTCATCCATTCCTTTGTGCCTGCCATCATACAACATGTTCTTTATTTTTCGCACTCCCGTGACAATTTTTCCTTAAATTAAACATAATTTAGAATTTATACGTAAAGATAAAATCGAAGCAGAGTTGCAATCTGTTTGACAGGTCACCTGTTAACAGGCCACATGTTGACAGATCTGTCACAGATTTGCGAATTTCTCAAAGATCTGTCAACAGTTGGCCCGTTAACAGGTGATCTGTGAAACAGGTGGCAGTCTGTGACAGGTGATCTTTTGACAGCACCTGTCAACTGGAATTTATGGAAAGATACATATATTTACCTGGATGAGGTATCAATGCACAGGTTAGATTATCAAATGATTCACGAATAAATTTTCTCACGGATCTAAGTTCTTCCTTTTGAAAGTCTTTTACTGTTAAATATTCTCGGAGATATTCATTTCCACCCTGAATGCCGTATTCGTAATCGTCTGGATTTTCCTTAAATTCAAAATTTAAATTTTAATTCAATTTGTATTAATTTGAGCGGCAAAGCATTTGCAAGGATGTTATGAGATTAGCTATATGGATGGAGGCAGATTAATTTAAATGAAAAATGAAGCTCTAGATTGGTATATGTCCAATAAAATTAAAAAAAAGTAAGACCAAATTTGAAGTTTGGTTTCTAAACCTTTATTTAAGGAATTCCAATAAAATGCAAAAAAAATTAACATTAAAATATTTGGATTTGATTTTTAAGAGATTACACATTTGTCATCCTCCAACTCCTTAACCTTCTTTTGTAAGTCAAGTTTTCTTCTAATTTCAGCGTCTCTTTCATTTTCCATTTCGAGGAGCTTTAAACGTTCTTTCTCAATTTGAAGTCTCATCTTTGCATTTTCTTCATCTTTTTTGTATTTTTCAAGTTCTGCTTTATTTTGAAGCTGTAAAAGTGCATATTTTTGAGCATTTTCAGCAATTAGACGCTCTTGCTCAAGCTTTTGATTCGATTCTTTAACTTGAACTTCTCTCATAAACTTTTGATGCTCTAATTCTTTTTCTACTTTATACTTTTTCATCTCCATTATTTTTTCAGCAGCTAAACGATTATTCTCACTTTCCAATTTCAATTTGGACATTTCCTGTTCAGCTATGAACATCTGATGCTGAATTTCTTTCTCATGTTTCATTCGTTCTAGTTCTAATTGCTTTTCTGTTGCAGCTCTCTTCTGTTCTGATTCCCATTTTAATTGAGCTATCTCCATTTCTTTAACAAATCTCGCTTGTTCCAGTTCCTTTTCTGCTTTCAGCTTCTCAATTTCAATTAACCGTTCAACTGCTTTCTTTTCACTTTCAAGCTGTTCACGTTCGAGTCGCTGCTTCTCTTCTATTGCAACACGTGTCTTTTCAACTTCGTCTGCAATCTTATTAATGCTTTCTATTGTCTGATTGCCCCACTCCTCATATAGCTTGTCAATTTCTGTTTCTAATATTTTCTTAAATTTAACTTCGTGACTATTATTTCCCATCTTCTTAGCTTCATTGAACATCAGCAAGGCTTTGTTTTTACATCCATCATGTAGGATCACGATGTTGCTTTGATTGTTTAATGCATCTCGATTCTTATAAACTGTTTCTTTATAGTTGTTGAAGCATAAGTTAACAAGAATTGTCATTTGCTTCTCAACGGTTGCATCAAAGATAGTCTGTGCTTGCGGAAGCTCATCAGATTGGAATAACTTAAAGTAGTGCTCAACATATTCGTGGTATTCAAAGCCTTTCACATTGCATCCATTATACTTCTTAAAAACTAGTCGTTCTGGATTAAGCAAGTGATCAATAAGGATTATTAGTTCATCCTTGAAGTCTTCATCCATTCCACTGTGACTTCCGTCATACATCAAATTCTTGTACTTTTTCACACCAGTCACAATTTTGCCTACAATGTGAGGTTAGAATAAAATTTAAAATTTTTTTGGTTTTGAGACACAAATGAATGCTATGCTAAATGATATTTATCAATCTCTCAAATTGATTCTTGTAACCGACTTCATCATGAATGATAGAGGCAGTAAACTGCTACAAATTGGCTAGCTCCAACTTTGAGGGAACTAATAGTTTCAATCACAAAACTGCATCTCTTTTGGGTTTTTAGCGCAATTTTAAAACTTGTTTCGAAAAAGTAGCATAATAATTCACTTTGTTCGTTCGTTCGGGCGGAAAAAAACTTTTTAACTAGACATCGTAGAGAGTTCTTGTTTGTTTTATTAGCTCAGATCCATTGTTTTATTTTCGGGAAACACATAAAACAGTGTTTTTGTACTATACATAATGCTTTATATATTTCATATGAAAAAACACGTGATGAGAGCGTTTAGAAATTCAAATTTATTTCTACCGTCATAAATGAACGATCTATTTTCAGAAATGTAGAACCATAGCATTAATGCGGAAAGTGGGAATCCCTTATCCTGGTAAGTGTCACAAGTTCAAAAGAAACTCAGAAAATAACCATACTAGCCAATTCAATGTAGACATCTTAAACCATCATTTAGACAACATTCAAAAGTTAACCATTTGACTTTACTTATCCATAATATTTACCTGGATGAGGAAGCAGCGAACAACTTAATTCATCAAATGAATTATGGATAAACTCGCGTACCGATTTTAATTCAGGTTTTTGCTCGCTTCTTACTTCCAAGAAATTTTCCAAATAGTTTTTACCACCATCAATGCCGCATGCGAAATCATCTGGATTTTCCTACACCAATTGTGAAAAAAATTGATGAAAATGATAAGGATAAAGTATTGAATTTTGGCTATGCGAATGAAACTTGAGCATGATTAAGAATTTTGTTGCTGCATCTTGTTCAATGCAACCAGGAAAGATCCTTGCTATGCTACTACCGACTAGAATCATAATAAAATAAAATAATATTAACTTACCCAATCTCTGATTAAGAACATCAAGTTTTGGAAGCATTTTCCATTCGATCCCTGGCTACTGGATGCTGCAAACTTGGCGAATTCTGTTGCAAATTGAAGATACTGTAATTGATCCTCTTGGATAACTCCAGATAAGTTTAAGACTTGAATTGACGAAATTAAGGTTCCAAGTGCAAAAATCTTTGAATTATCCATCGGTGAACTTTGGTTATCGAAAAGACCTTGAGTGTCCATTACGACTAATGCAATTTTTTCGCCAGTTCGTTCAACTGTATGCAAGAATATATCATTCCACATGACAATACCAGTTGTATCACGATCGGAACCAGAACGCCATGAGAATCCTTTCAATGGTTCATCCTCCTCACCCATCCAATTGGTAGGATTTGAGACAGGATTATTTGGATAGTTGATTGATGGATACTGTGAAAATATTTCAGTTTTTTAAACATTTTTAAAAATATTAATTAGCACTAAGAACTTACATGAGCATACAAATAGCGAAGACAATAATCAAGAAAGAAAGATTTTCCTTTGCGATAAGCACCAATAATTGAAAATGCGACAATTTTGCGATGCTTAACATCAGGATGAAGGAACATGTCCTTTAATGGCTCTTCTTTAATAAAAACTTTGCTATCTTCTCCAAATCCTAAGACATTTTCAGACTTTCCGTATGGATGATTATGACTTGACATTTTTAATAGACCTCGTTGATAACCTTAAAAAAAATATGAATATCAAAATTTATTTCAATCATTTGATTTGTATAACATTAAGGTAATATAACAAATGTTGGTAATTGCTTGGACCTTTGGATCAAAACTATAAGAACATAAATCAACCAGGAAGGGGTCTACTTCCCTGAATATGGTTACAATCAAAGAAATTTCATCGAATTAATCATCACTAAAAATGTATAACTTAACGTTATTTTTATGATAAAACCTCAATTATTCACTTATGACGTCATAAATTAATATCTTCCATTTTTATATTTATTTAAAATTTACGCTTCATTCCATGCTAATAAAATCAAATATTTGACTTACTTCTTATTCGAAATGAAACAATTTGCCTTTTTTTAATATTCGTTCTTTACACTTTAAAATTCACAGAGGAACTAGAATTCCAACACAATCTCGTACAAGCATTTATACTTTTCATTATAAGTCAAAAAATATAACATTACGGATAACAATTTATAACATTACTTACTCTATTTTTGAATTTTGATGAGTTTTATACATTTTCACCACAGATCTTTGAAAAAATCCTAAGTTTGTCAAAAGAAGCCGCTTATGTATTGTAAAATGAAGAACTAAAGATTTAATGTTTTGCCATCAAAAAAAGCTTCGGAAACTCTTCCTTTCATATTCCTTAAAAATAAGCCTTAAAAGTCTAATTTAATAAAAGATCAAGCGGAAAATTGTATAACTTTAGTTATCAGATTTAATGAAAAATGCATATTTATCAACTAAAATAAGAAAATAGTCGCTTTACATAGCAAACTGCTGTAGATGGAAATTAATAAAATAAATAAATCATTTTTCCATAGAAATTATGAAATTTAATAATTATAACAATTATTTGACAAATAACATAGTTATTTATTTTAAGGTTTATATAAAAAGTTTTAAATTTGTAATAAAGAATTTAAAAATAGAGTAAGTAATGTTATAAATTGTTATCCGTAATGTTATATTTTTTGACTTATAATGAAAAGTATAAATGCTTGTACGAGATTGTGTTGGAATTCTAGTTCCTCTGTGAATTTTAAAGTGTAAAGAACGAATATTAAAAAAAGGCAAATTGTTTCATTTCGAATAAGAAGTAAGTCAAATATTTGATTTTATTAGCATGGAATGAAGCGTAAATTTTAAATAAATATTAAAAATGGAAGATATTAATTTATGACGTCATAAGTGAATAATTGAGGTTTTATCATAAAAATAACGTTAAGTTATACAATTTTAGTGATGATTAATTCGATGAAATTTCTTTGATTGTAACCATATTCAGGGAAGTAGACCCCTTCCTGGTTGATTTATGTTCTTATAGTTTTGATCCAAAGGTCCAAGCAATTACCAACATTTGTTATATTACCTTAATGTTATACAAATCAAATAATTGAAATAAATTTTGATATTCATATTTTTTTTAAGGTTATCAACGAGGTCTATTAAAAATGTCAAGTCATAATCATCCATACGGAAAGTCTGAAAATGTCTTAGGATTTGGAGAAGATAGCAAAGTTTTTATTAAAGAAGAGCCATTAAAGGACATGTTCCTTCATCCTGATGTTAAGCATCGCAAAATTGTCGCATTTTCAATTATTGGTGCTTATCGCAAAGGAAAATCTTTCTTTCTTGATTATTGTCTTCGCTATTTGTATGCTCATGTAAGTTCTTAGTGCTAATTAATATTTTTAAAAATGTTTAAAAAACTGAAATATTTTCACAGTATCCATCAATCAACTATCCAAATAATCCTGTCTCAAATCCTACCAATTGGATGGGTGAGGAGGATGAACCATTGAATGGATTTTTATGGCGTCCAGGAACAATCCGAATCACAACAGGCCTGGAAGTTTGGAATGATATTTTTTTACACACTGACGAAAAGTCGGGTGAAGAAATTGCAATTTTTGTGATGGACACACATGGACTGTTTGACAGTGAAACTTCATCGTTGGATAACTCAAGAATTTTTTCACTTGGAACCTTGATATCATCAATTGAAGTTTTGAATCTATCAGGTGTAATTCAGGATGACCAGCTGCAATTCTTACAGTTTTCAACTGAATGTGCAAAATTCGCAACAATCGAGCAACAAGGAACAGCTGATAAATGCTTTCAAAATTTAATATTTCTCATTAGAGATTGGGTAAGATTGAATGCTTAAGTTCTGTTTTGTGTAGCTGGAATGTCTATATTTATATCTAATTTTAGGACAATCCCGATGAATTCCAATACGGCATTGAAGGAGGCAGTAAATATTTAAAACATTTCATTGAAGTAACTGGCAGGAAGAAAAAGGAATTAAAGTATGTGTGTGAATCTATCATTGATTCATTTGAGAACATCAACTGCTCACTGCTTACTCATCCAGGTAAATGTGCCTTTTTGGATTCAATTTTTTAATTTCCTATTGTTTTACCACTTTTCTTTATTTATAACAGGAAAGATAGTGTCAAGAGGCAAGAAAGGCACACAAGAATATGATGGCAACTGGAAAGGAATGGATGAAGACTTTAGAGACCAACTCTTTACATTAATAGACTATCTCCTAAAACCTGAGCAGTTGGCTGTAAAGAAAATCAACGGAAATGAAACAAATGGAGAAGATTTCTTAAGCTTTATACTTACTGAGTTAAAGGACTTCCAGACAGATGATCTATTGAAATCTCAAACATTACGCGACCTGATGACTGAGAAGGAAATGGAAGCTCTTATTAGTTTCTGCATTGAACATTACAAAGAAGTTGGAAATCGAAATAAAGGCACAATACAAAATGACGAAGACATTCCAAAACTTCATGAACAATGCAAGAAGGAAGCCTTAGATAAATATGACAGCTCAAAAAAGATGGGAAATGATGTGGATAGCAAGAGATTTCGGCGAGTGTTGGAAGAAAGGATTGAACAATTATTTACCGATTTGATAGTTCAACTCGAAAATGATAAGAAGAAGTTGGAAGATGAAACAGAAAAGCTTCGTTCAGAGTTGGACGAAAGGCAAAAAAAGGAGCTTGAAAAAATAGAACACGAAAAGAAACTTGCTGAAGAACGCTTAGAAGCTGGTCGAAAAAAAGCTAAAGAAGCTTTAGAACACGAAGCGAAACTTAAGGAGGAAGAAATTGTAAAAATCAATAAGCAAGCTGAGCAAGAGCAAATTGCTGCCCAACAACAAAGAGAAGAGCAAGTCAAAGCTACCAAAACTGTAATTGAGGCTATTCACGAAACTGTGGCAGAGTCAAAACAGCAGCATGAAGACAACAAAAAGAAGGAACTGGCGATGCAAGAGGAGAAAGAAATGGAACAGATTCAAAGTATGGATCATACTGAACTTAAGGGTATGTGACTGACAAAAATTACACTTAGGACCTTATTAATGATTAACCTTTTTAGATAACTCTAGTTTTGGCGATGAGTCCAACTCTGATGACCCAATAACTACATCAACAACTCTTAAGCAAATCGAACCATTACGAGGCACCAACAAAGAAGATATTGAAAAATGGAAGCAAGATCTGTTCTTAAAAAACTCACTTGCTACTGAATCAAGTAAAACTATGAATGATGATAAATTGAAGCTTGAACCATTGGATGTTAACAGCCAATTTCCATCATTACACACAGCTACAGTAGCTGTAGATGCAACCAAACCTGGAAGATTTCCAATTACTCATAAAGCCGACCAAGAACAATTTAAAAATCCAAATGTTAAGGACAAAGTATTTGAACAGTTTCAGGATGATCCGGTACCAATGGAACCATTTTGTGAAGCAGCTCAAGATTATTCAATTAGGGAACAAAGTTTAACACCAGTGTCACATGCTGAAGCATCAGACTTTCGCGCACATCCCTTAACTCCTCAAAAGGAACCTAGAAAGGTTTATGCAGCACAGCCAACAAGTATGTTTTAGAATAATTATTGATCATGAGATGCAATTTGGGGTCATTCACTTATAACGTCCTTCAGGTGTGTAGCCAGGGGGTGGATTTTGGGAACAAATCCCCCTTCGTCTTGAGAAATTTCTGCATTTTGCTAGAATTTTTATGAACCCCCCCCCCCCCCCCCTAAAAGTTTTCGATACAAAAAAAAATTTGTCCTCCCTTTAAATACAATTTTTTAAAAAGTCCTCTCCCATCCTCTATTACCAAACTGTCACAGATGCCAGTTATTGGTAGTGAAGGACACGATTTTGAAATTTGACTTGATTTTTTTTCCCGACCTCCGCTCGCCCCCTTTCCCCCTCACATCCCTGTCAGAATGTGTCCCAAAATCCTAGACTCCCCTCTCCTCCCCCTAAATCTTGGACGTCATAAGTAAACGACCCCTTTTTGAACAATATCTGAATAGCTTATGTTCATTCCTTGAGTATCGTCACTAGAACTATTTTAATTTCAAATTTTGAACATTTTAGCTCCACAAAATAGGGAATTGTATGGTAAAAATGTTAAAATCCTAGCATTTCCAAGTAACAACAATCCATCAATTGATGATGAATTTCTGAGAAGCATCTTCGAGCATCCTGAAGTAAGAGATCGTAAAATTGTAGTTTTTTCAATTGCGGGAACTTCCAGCAGAGAAAATAACAAACTTCTTAGTTATTTCCTTAATTATTTGTATATTCTTGTAAGTTATGAGTTAATCTAGAAAATTCTGTGAAGCATTACTGTTTAAAATTGGAACACTGCTTCTTGGCATTAAAAGCTTCAAAAAATATTAATTAAGTTGAAAATCAATTTTTTAGTACACATCATTGCAAAAATTTTCATCTCCGATTCACATGAACTATTCTGCACAAGATGGAGATGATTCAGCTTTATTTATGTGGAATGATGTCTTTTTACATGAAAATTATAGAACAGATGACAAAGTTGCGATTATCTTGATGACCACGCAAGGGCTTTTTGATGATCAAAAGACGCCAAAGGATAATGCCAGAAGTTTTGCAATTGGGATGCTGATTTCCTCAACTCAAGTCTTAAACTTGTCAAAAGAAATTCATACAAATCAATTAAAGAATCTTGATGACGTTGCAAAATTTGCTGAAATTGTGGCTGCTGGGAGTCAAAGAATTGATATCTCCCTTCCACAACTTGTTTTTCTTATAAGGAATTGGGTAAAATATTTAAACCTTAATTAATTATTTTAATTATTCTTTTATTGCTTATTTTTATAGAGTAATGAAAAATATTCTTATGGCATGACGGGTGGAAATGACTATTTAACGCACTTGCTAAGCCCTGGAATGTTATCAAGCATTCCTCTTCTGAATAAAGAATCAAAGTCCATACGAGAGATGGTTCGTAATTCATTTAAAAATTCAAGATGTGTTCTACTTCCTAGGAGCCTCCTGCCTGGTAGCCGTAAGTTGATTATTCTGAATATTTTAACGAGGTTCTTCTGTCATTATGACTTAATCATCTGATCTAGAATCAAGAACCAAGATGCACGATCTTTATGTCGTTAAACTTTTGTTCTTAGTCTGTCCCCAGTTTTAAATTCTCTGGCACAGTTGTGTCCTTATACAATTTCAATTCCCTGCTGTATTAACTTCTGAAAAAGTAGTAGACTTCAGTCGATAATGAACAAGCCAAGTATTACCGAGATTATGGCAGTTACAACCTTGTTCCGAGTCAGTAGTTTATCAAAAGCTATCACGGCTCTAGTCAGTTGGGATTTATTGGCTCAGGGAATTTTAAAGGATTTTTCAGGATTAATCCTGAGTTTCCATGCCTTGCCTTTAACACAGAACTTTAAAGCCCTATAATTCAGCTATTTGTTAGACCTGCCATATATGTATCCCTTAGATACATTAAAATATATTTACTTAATAAATTCCAGAGATCGAAGCCGATTTTTTCGGCTTAACTCAATTTTTGATTTTTTTGATAGAAAAAAGCCATTTGACACCCATTTCCAGTATTTAAATTGAACTTTACGTGCTTTACTATGATTCTGTGTAATATTTTGTCAGCATGTAGCTATAGTGAGCTCAGAATTTCAAATTAGCCGATTTTAAGCCGATCGGCTTAAATTTCGGCTTAACATTCTCAAACTTGAAATTCTGAGCTTACTATAGCTACATGCTGACAAAATATTACACAGAATTGTAGTAAAGCATGTAAAGTTCAATTTAAATACTTGAAATGGGTGTTAAATAGCTGTTTTCTATCAAAAAAATCAAAACTTGAGTTAAGCCGAAAAAATCGGCTTCGATCTCTGATAAATTCTATTAAAATTCTATTTTCAGATGCAAGTTCTTCCAGATCACAAAGAAAACAGTCGTCAAGCTTTGAGATGGAGATGAAAAACCTTGTTGAAAATCTCTTTCATTCAGAAAATTTGATGCCAAAAATTATTAATGGAGTGTCAGTAACGGGTCGAGAACTTTACAGCTATATTAAAGTATATTTTGAACATTTCAAATCTGAAATGAATTCACAGCCATCAAACAGACATAATCACTTAAATATGATCGCACAAATTGAAATGTGCTTTGAGCAATATAAAGTTACTGTCTATAAAAACAAGGATGTCATTTCAAGTCCTGAAAATATTGCAAAACTTCACAAAATGAGCAAAGACAGTGCGATAAACATGTTTTATGGCTATTGTGATAAAATTGGATATGTAGACAATGACATGATTTATACAAGAGAATTGGAAAAGAAAATTGAAGATATTTACAGTGCTTTTCAGAATCCATCTGACGAAAATATTGAAGAGTTTGAAAAAGAAAGCCAAAAAATTGAAGCATTGCTACAAGAAAAGCAAAAAATGGAAGAGAATTTTGCAGTTGAAAAACAAATTTTGACGGAATTGTCAGAAATAAAAATTGCAAATGCTAAATTAGAGTGTGAAAAGAGAATATTACAGGTAAAACTAGAACATGAACAAAAATTCAGTGCGGTCTTAGAAAGTAAAATTGATCATCTCAAAAAATCAGGGAGCTGTGAAATTATGTAGGAACAAAACCATGCTTTCTTAACATGTGAAACCGTGTGAATCTGATCAATCTTAATTTAATGATTTCAGCTTTGCAGCCATGAACTTTTGCTGGAAATTGTGAAAAAAGAATTAAATAAATAAATCAGAATCAACTTCTTTAATCTTTTCTTTATTTGACATTGCATCAATAAAAGCGATTTTTTTAAGGGCAACTCACGAAAGGGGTCATTCACTTATGACGTCCATAAATAAACACGATTTTTGGACCCCCTTTTTAGCGCATTTTTTAAAGTTGTTTCTAAGAGGTAGCTTAATATCTCACTATGTCTGTTCGTTCGGGCGGAGAAAAACTTTTTAACTAGACATCGTAGAATGTTCTAGTTTGTTTTATTAGCTCCGGTCCATTGTTTTATTTTCGGGAAACGCATTTAAAAGTCTTGAAAGAGTGTTTTTGTACTATAATTAATGATTTTTATATTTCATATGAAAAAACACGTGATGAGAGCGTTTAGAAATTCGAATTTATTTCTACCGTTGAAAATTTTGAATCTCAAAAAACCGTTAAATTACAAAGCCTTTTTATATGAAAATTTTTTTTGCAACAGACTGTTATTTATACTTTAATTAGTGGTTTTTCTGTAATTTTGAAAAAAAAATTTGAACTTTTAAGTTTCAGACATGCTTAAAACTTTACTGGATCTTGGTTTTATGTTTCAGATATGATTAAAGCTTTACTGGATCTTGGTTCCAAGTTTCAGACATGCTTAACACTTTACTGGATCTTGGTTTTAAGTTTCGGACATGCTTATAATTTTACTGGATCTTGGTTTTAAGTTTCAGACATGCTTAAAACTTTACTGGATCTTGGTTTTAAGTTTCAGACATGCTTAAAACTTTACTGGATCTTGGTTTTAAGTTTCGGACATGCTTATAATTTTACTGAATCTTGATTTTAAGTTTTAGACATGCTTAAAACTTTACTGGATCTTGGTTTTATGTTTCAGATATGATTAAAGCTTTACTGGATCTTGGTTCCAAGTTTCAGACATGCTTAAAACTTTACTGGATCTTGGTTTTAAGTTTCGGACATGCTTATAATTTTACTGGATCTTGGTTTTAAGTTTCAGACATGCTTAAAACTTTACTGGATCTTGGTTTTAAGTTTCAGACATGCTTAAAACTTTACTGGATCTTGGTTTTAAGTTTCGGACATGCTTATAATTTTACTGGATCTTGATTTTAAGTTTCAGACATGCTTAAAACTTTACTGGATCTTGGTTTTAAGTTTCGGACATGCTTATAATTTTACTGGATCTTGGTTTTAAGTTTCAGACATGCTTAAAACTTTACTGGATCTTGGTTTTAAGTTTCAGACATGATTAAAACTTTACTGGATCTTGGTTTTAAGTTTCGGACATGCTTATAATTTTACTGGATCTTGATTTTAAGTTTCGGACATGCTTATAATTTTACTGGATCTTGGTTTTAAGTTTCAGACATGCTTAAAACTTTACTGGATCTTGGTTTTAAGTTTCAGACATGCTTAAAACTTTACTGGATCTTGATTTTAAGTTTCGGACATGCTTATAATTTTACTGGATCTTGGTTTTAAGTTTCAGACATGCTTAAAACTTTACTGGATCTTGGTTTTAAGTTTCAGACATGATTAAAACTTTACTGGATCTTGGTTTTAAGTTTCAGACATGCTTATAATTTTACTGGATCTTGGTTTTAAGTTTCAGACATGCTTAAAACTTTACTGGATCTTGGTTTTAAGTTTCAGACATGATTAAAACTTTACTGGATCTTGGTTTTAAGTTTCAGACATGCTTATAATTTTACTGGATCTTGGTTTTAAGTTTCAGACATGCTTAAAACTTTACTGGATCTTGGTTTTAAGTTTCGGACATGCTTATAATTTTACTGGATCTTGATTTTAAGTTTCAGACATGCTTAAAACTTTACTGGATCTTGGTTTTAAGTTTCAGACATGATTAAAACTTTACTGGATCTTGGTTTTAAGTTTCGGACATGCTTATAATTTTACTGGATCTTGATTTTAAGTTTCAGACATGCTTATAATTTTACTGGATCTTGGTTTTAAGTTTCGGACATGCTTATAATTTTACTGGATCTTAGTTTTAAGTTTCAGACATGCTTAAAACTTTACTGGATCTTGATTTTAAGTTTCAGACATGCTTAAAACTTTACTGGATCTTGGTTTTAAGTTTCGGACATGCTTATAATTTTACTGGATCTTGATTTTAAGTTTCGGACATGCTTATAATTTTACTGGATCTTGGTTTTAAGTTTCAGACATGCTTAAAACTTTACTGGATCTTGGTTTTAAGTTTCAGATATGCTTATAATTTTACTGGATCTTGGTTTAAGTTTCGGACATGCTTATAATTTTACTGGATCTTGATTTTAAGTTTCAGACATGCTTAAAACTTTACTGGATCTTGGTTTTAAGTTTCGGACATGCTTATAATTTTACTGGATTTTGGTTTTAAGTTTCAGACATGCTTAAAACTTTACTGGATCTTGGTTTTAAGTTTCAGACATGCTTAAAACTTTACTGGATCTTGGTTTTAAGTTTCAGACATGCTTATAATTTTACTGGATCTTGGTCTTAAGTTTCAGATATGATTAAAGCTTTACTGGATCTTGGTTTAAAGTTTCAGATATGCTTATAATTTTACTGGATCTTGGTTTAAGTTTCGGACATGCTTATAATTTTACTGAATCTTGATTTTAAGTTTTAGACATGCTTAAAACTTTACTGGATCTTGGTTTTAAGTTTCAGACATGCTTAAAACTTTACTGGATCTTGATTTTAAGTTTTAGACATGCTTAAAACTTTACTGGATCTTGGTTTTAAGTTTCAGACATACTTAAAACTTCACTGGATCTTGGTTTTAAGTTTAGACATGCTTAAAACTTTACTGGATCTTGGTCTTAAGTTTCAGATATGATTAAAGCTTTACTGGATCTTGGTTTAAAGTTTCAGACATGCCCATAACTTTACTGGATCTTGGTTTTAAGTTTCAGACATGCTTAAAACTTTACTGGATCTTGATTTTAAGTTTCAGACATGCTTAAAACTTTACTGGATCTTGGTTTTAAGTTTCAGACATTCTTAAAACTTTACTGGATCTTGGTAATTTGGTGCAGGTATGATTGTGAGTTTACTGGATCTTGGTTTTAAGTTTCAGCCATGACTAAAACTTTACTGGATCTTGGCTCCAAGTTTCAAAAATAATTAAAATTTTACATACTCTTGGTTCTGAGTTGTAAACATGGTTAATTTTGGATTCTTGGTCGATACATTTGGAAATCCAGTACGATCTGTAACCTGTAAACCTACTGTAATCTATAAACAGTTGAACGAAACGGAGTGAAACGGAGTGGAGTTCAACACACCTGTAACCTATAAACGTACTGTAATCTATAAACAGTTGAACGAAACGGAGTGAAACGGAGTGGAGTTCAACACACCTGTAACCTATAAATCTAAACTAGGTTGAGCGAAGCTCACAAATTTTTACGTCCTGAACGGAGCGAAGCGAAGTGAAGGCGTGAAAATTTTACCCAATTTAAAAAAATCCAGTACGATCTGTAACCAATAAACCTTCTGTAATCTATAAACAGTTGAACGAAACGGAGTGAAACGGAGTGGAGTTCAACACACCTGTAACCTATAAACGTACTGTAATCTATAAACAGTTGAACGAAACGGAGTGGAGTTCAACACACCTGTAACCTATAAATCTACTGTAATCTATAAACAGTTGAACGAAACGGAGTGAAACGGAGTGGAGTTCAACACACCTGTAACCTATAAACCTACTGTAATCTATAAACAGTTGAACGAAACGGAGTGAAACGGAGTGGAGTTCAACACACCTGTAACCTATAAACCTACTGTAATCTATACACAGTTGAACGAAACGGAGTGAAACGGAGTGGAGTTCAACACACCTGTAACCTATAAATCTAAACTAGGTTGAGCGAAGCTCACAAATTTTTACGTCCTGAACGGAGCGAAGCGAAGTGAAGGCGTGAAAATTTTACCCAATTTAAAAAAATCCAGTACGATCTGTAACCAATAAACCTTCTGTAATCTATAAACAGTTGAACGAAACGGAGTGAAACGGAGTGGAGTTCAACACACCTGTAACCTATAAACCTACTGTAATCTATAAACAGTTGAACGAAACGGAGTGAAACGGAGTGGAGTTCAACACACCTGTAACCTATAAACCTACTGTAATCTATACACAGTTGAACGAAACGGAGTGAAACGGAGTGGAGTTCAACACACCTGTAACCTATAAATCTAAACTAGGTTGAGCGAAGCTCACAAATTTTTACGACCTGAACGGAGCGAAGCGAAGTGAAGGCGTGAAAATTTTACCCGTTTTTAAAAATCCAGATCGATCTAGATAATTTGGTTGCTTCTATGACCTTAAAAGTATTTAAAAATAAATATTGATATTGAAGTTCAACACACCTGTAATTTTTAAACCTACTGTAATCTATAAGATCTGAGTTCAACACACCTGTTGTTTTATTTTTAATTTTTAATGAAACACGTCTTAATGTTTTTGTTCGTGTTTTTCAACTGATTTTTTTATTTTCTCAGACTACTGAGATCATTATTTTACACCTGTAATTTATAAGCCTTCTGCAATCTATAAACAGTTGAACGAAACGGAGCACACAAGTTGCAAAACTATCCAAGACTGTAACCTATGTTGAAGTCTGATCTACATAAGAGACTGAGTGCGGAGCAGCAACTGGAGCGAAGCGGAAGTTGCAAATTTGGATTCATGGATTATTGTTTTTTACTCAAGCATGCTTACTTTAGGAAAACATAATCAATTAATTTCTATGTACATATATTACGATTTATTCATTTTTTATTGAGAAAACGCATTTTTGAAAAATACTAAAATATATGGATTTATCTTCTCTTTATGACAATCATCTATTTTTATAATCTTTTCTTTTGGTCCAATATCATCAACATAAATAAAATATGGTCCTGAATAAACATAACAATTAAAATGTCCCATGTTTTTGTCATAAATGAAATTAATTATAAACATCAAATCATACATAAGGACATTTCCAAAATGAAGAACTGTTGGGATATCATTTAATCCAACTTCTACTTGAAGGTGTGCTCCGAATCTGCACTGAAAAATTAGAACTTCACCAAAATAAATTGTTGGATCAATTAGTTTTATTTTGCAGTTTGTGCAAATTGAATACTTTTCCATAATCCAGGTAAGAAAAATATTTTCGAAATTATCCTTAAATTCTTCTATATTTTGAAAATTAATAAAATGACATCTCATGCTTTTTAGTTTTTGATAGTCACATTTTGGACATTTAAATTCCCAACTGTAGCTTTCAAATTCTTTCAAGATATATAATATTAAGTCCTCTTGGTTCCATGCCATAATATAAGATTTAATAATTTCATTTTTATTTAAAATTTCATTTCTTAGTCTAAAAGG